AGGTGAGCCCCAGCCCTTTGCCTGGACAGAAACAAGGAAATCCTCTCATACCAGCCCCAGGACACCAGTGAGGAAAATGACTTTTTCTTTCCCCACCCTTGGCACAGATTTTTCCCTAATACTTACTCAATCCCTTACAGCATCTCCCTTTCTTGTACCACTTGGCTGCAGCCATGGCCAAGAAAACCAACCTTGGCACTTTCTTCCCACCCCATTCAGAGCACCCTCAGCCTGTGGGGTGGGAATACAGCTCTGTTGGGGTGGCTCCAGCCCCCACATCTCCAGATTCCCATGCATGGAGCTCTCCTTTGCGTGCAGGGTCCGTTAGGTTGGGCTTTGCTGGCTTGGTTGAGAATGAACTCACCTGCAGCACGGCTCTGTGCACAGCTCCTGTTGGGTTGCAGAGCCCGCAGGGTATCTCGCAGTGGTGATGCTGTTCCTCTCAGAGGCACTTGGCAAACAAATGAGCGAGGAAGAAACACAGATTGTGTTTGCTAATGGAGCACAGTTGCCAAAGAATGCATAAACCGTTATTCACCGCGAGGGAAATTCCTCTCTGGGAGATGTTTGGGCTGAAAGGCTCGGGGTTGCAAGCGTTGCTGAAAGGCTGCATTTTTTGCTCAGTGCACTTTGTGTGTGGATGCTGAACTTAGAACCTCGGTGTTTGCTGTCCTTGCATGGTTTCCTCTATGGAGGAGCAAAGGATGCGTGGTTTAGTGGGCATGGTGAGGATGGGGCGATGGTTGGACTGGATCTTAAGTGGTCTTTTCCAAGCTTAATGATTCTGTGGTTACACAGGCATCGTTTTGGGGCCGCTGACCCACAAACATCAACCCTATGGAGATGGGAGTCACCGAGTTGGAATTGGGTGGGATGGGGCTCCGGGATAGCAGAGCTGGGGGAAGGGGAGGTGGTCGGATGTGTGGGCACAGTGGGGATGGGTTGATGGCTGGACTTGGTGATCTCAGTGTTCTTTTCCAACCTTTATGATTCTGTGTTCCTGTGCTCAACCATCTGTTGCAAAGAGTTGAATTTTGTTAAGCATGCTTGCTCTTCTCCTGGTTCCCCCCCCCCCCTCTTCTTCTTGTGCTGGGTGTTAAATTAAAACGTGGTTTTGATTTCAAATAGTTTAAATTAAAATGTCTCCGTGTATAAAACCCTCTGCGGACTATAAATTATGCAGGAGAGGACTGTGAATTATTCAGAAGTGAAACAGCACTGGAAACCCCTCCAGAAAACAGAGCAGCAATGGGAGAGCAGCCTGCAGAACCCAGACCCAGCAGGACTCAAAATGGGCATCACCAGGAGATGCTGAGACTCAAAATGGGGTTTTTCTTGTGCTTTTCCCATTGCTGCTTCTAAACAGGCAGTGGATGTTTTGGTTTTGCCCCTGAGAAAGCCCTTTGGATATCTAAAATGAAGGCTTTTTGTTCACGTTTGCACGGTTAGCTTTGCATTTTGCAATGGGTTTGGATTCAGGGTGGTGCCAAAGGTTGGACTCGGTGGTCCTGGTGGGTCCCTTCCAAATTAGGGGCTTCTTTGGTTCTTTGACCAGGTTGGACCAGGCTCTGAGCAGCCTGATGGAGCTGTGGCTGTTCCTGTTTGCTGCAGATGAGTTGGATGGACGACCTTTAACGGTCCCTTCCGACTCAAATGATTCCATGATTCCTGAGGACTTCTCACCCCAAATAACAGAGAACCGCCAGTCCTGCCCAATTTGTGGCTGCAGAGGAGAGGGAAAGTCTCTTTTTGACCCCTTAGCCCTGGATGCCTGCTTTGCTGATGCTTAAGGGCTCTCTGAGGCTTCTTCCACATTTCCAATGTTCTCAGCCTCTTTGCTGATTTGGGATTGGGGGTAGTGGGATATTTAGGATAAGGGATGCTATAATGGGATATTTGGGGTGAGGGATTCTACAATGGGATATTTGAAGTAAGGGATGCTATAATGGGATATTTGGGCAAGGAATACCATAAAAGGGGATATTTTGGATAAGGAATGCTATAAAGAGATTTTTGGGATAAGGGATGCTATAACAGGGGATATTTGAGGTAAGGGATGCTATAATGGGATGTTTTGGGTAAGGGATGCCATAAAAGAGGATATTTAGGATAAGGGGTGCTATGGCATGACATTTGTAGTAAAAGATGCTATAATTGGGACAAGGGATGTTATAAAGGGATATTTCAGGTAAGGGATGCCATAAAAGGGGATATTTGGGATAAGGGATGCTGTAACAGGATATTTGCCATCCAAAAACCAAAACTGGGGGGAAAATATAAATTCCTATGAAACGTGACCATTGGAGCACTGTGTAATGAAGTGAGCTGAGGGGAGACAGCTTCATTTAGGGAAGCTATCTCTGCACTTTTGAGTTGGAATAGCATTACCTCCAATGGAGTAACGCTGTTTCAGAATCCGGCCCATCGTTGCCATTCTAAGGCAGAAGCAGCAGCAGAGTGCTTTATTTTCCTCCTCCTTCGCCTGCAGTCATCACACCCAGAATTTGAAGACAGATTTTGGAGGTTAAAACTTCCCCGCAGAGCCCAGATTGTTTCCCTCTCAGCTGTCATCTCGGGACGGTTCTGTTTGCTTTCAGATGGCATCAAATATTTGGATTCCTGCAGGGGCTGTGGTGCGAGGGTGAATCTCATGCACACAAAACAATGCAAATAAGCTTTTTGTAAGAGGGCTTTTTTAGCATTTCAGTGTGTGCTGCTCCTGTGCAACTTGTTGCATTTCTGTGTGGACATCAGTGTACAGAAGATGGTCTGCTTCTGCTTGCACCGAGTTGGCTGCATTGCATTTGCTCCTTTGTTCTTTTCATTCCAAATCCCCACGTTGCCTTGCTTGTTTTTGCTGTGATTGGCCCTTATCTCTCCAATAGAACAATATTATTGCTGGGGAGGTGCCCAGCACAGGGCAGAGCTCCAGAAGGTGCATGAGATGAAGATGTCTGCAAGGAAACATCAGGGAAAAAAAATAAATCATTAAAAGTAATGAGTTGAAAACTTTCCTCCAGCAAGCATCACTGCTCTGTCTCGTGGAATTTGCAAACTAAAAGTACTGTATTTGCCCCCTCCTCCCCCCCATCTCAGCTGTGCTTCCTTGTATGCTCTTCTTTTCCTGGATGCAATCATGGATTGAAAAGGACCTCAAAGATCATCTGGTTTCAACCCACTGCTGTGTGCAGGTCACCAACCAGCAGCCCAGGCTGCCCAGAGCCACATCCAGCCTGGCCTTGAATGCCTGCAGGGATGGGGCATCCACAGCCTCCTCGAGCAACCTGCTTTTCAGCTGCAGTACAAAGCACGTCCTCTGGGGATGCAGAACTGAGCTCAGCCCCTGCATGCTGAGCCCTCCTGCACCCTGCTCATGCTGCAAGCTTTGCTCGTGCTCCTGCAGCTCCCTTTTAATTGTATCATATTGTTCTGCTTCTCTACACGTGGTGCGAAGCGCTGATAACTTTGTCGAAGCTGCTGCCTGGCAGAGAGAGCAGAGATTAATAAAAACCTGTCGCTTTTATTAACTTTGCAATCTAGTGCATCACTTAATTCCAGGCAGGCGCTGACCGCAACGCTCAGAGCTGTAAGCAGCTCTTTCTGTCTTGGTGCACAGCTCTGCTGGGCTGGATGGGAGTGATGTAGTACCATAAGGCTTTTCCTAAGCATTCCCTCTTGCCAGATCCCTTGGCTCCTGGTAGATGCCTACTGAAGATGCTGCCGTTGGCTGTGTCTGTTGTCTTGCTGGAGGGGTTTGGTCTGGAGAAAGATGGAAGTAACCCAGTGGTGGGGATGAGGTTGTAATGGAGTGATGGAACTGTAAACCCTTGGATATTCCAAGTAGAGCTTCCAAATTGTGGCTTTTCTTTTATAGCAGAGTATGAAAAGCACGGGGTGATCATTTGATGCATGGAGTGGAAGCGTTCTGTTTAGGGGCAAGGGAAGGTGAAACTGTTCCACGTGTACCAGATTCCTTCTCAAATGCAAGACCAGAGATGCCTCTGGTGTTCTTACTGTGGTCCTTTGGAGGGGGACGTTCCTTGGCATGGATGTTCTGGGGTCTTCAAGGAGCAGGCAGAAGATGCCCATTGGATCCCATTGCATTTGTGCCTGATGTGGTCTCAGCCTGAGCGCCCCGTAACCATTTAGTTTTTTGGCTAATGCCTCAAGAGCAGTCACAAAGAAATAAATCAAACCAGAAGCACCCAGACAAGAGCCAGGCTGTTCAATAGGTGCCAGCCCTGCAAACATCAGAATGGGTGGCACTTCCCACTGCTGGCCCATCCTGTGCCGTTGAGTCGATCGTTGGCTTTTTAGCAGCAAGGAAGCAGCCTGTGTCGTGCTTTCCATCTCTGTGCTGCACTGCAGTTATTTTTATCTGTTATATATTGTTCTCGATGGAATTATTCTGCCCTCAGCCTGTAGATAAGGGCTGTTGCTAAACGAGCGTGAGCTTTTTCCTTGAAGGTTAAATCTCTGCCTTGCAGGTTGCTGAGTGAGGAGATGCTTTCTGCTTCCCCTCTGCATCTTCCTGGGCTGTTTTGGTGTTTTCAGGTGCTTCCAGTAGCCTGTAACACCCGTTGGAGCAGTGCAAGGTGGTAGTGAGGGTGCATTTAGGGCTGTGCCTCTCTTGTGGGTGCTCTGCTTAACAAACGGCAGCTTTTCAGAAGCTGTTAGCATGAGCCATTAACTCTTCCTTTTAATTATTCAGCTCGCCTGTTTTAAATTTTGGTTTAAATGCAGCTAATAGGCTTTGTGGAGGAGGCTCCGACCTCGGCGGTCCCTCCCCAGAGGAGCCCACATGGTGCCTCACCAGCTGATCACTTTGGCTCATTATCTCACGTCTTTCTCCAGCTGATGGATGGCTCTGGATTGATTTATGAACATCCGTGGGTGGGTGCAGCAGACGAATGGGGAACATGGGTCCTTGCAGCCCCATATGGCAAAGAAGGAGCAACCCCAGCCACCATTTCTATTTTGTTGTGATTTCTGCAGATAACCCCAAATTGCCTTGTGGCATCATTTTGAGTCTTGTGCACGTTGCTTTGTGTGATTGGTGGTTGGGCTGGGTGACCTGATGGTTGGGTTTGGTGACCTGATGGTTGGGCTGGGTGACCTGATGGTTGGACTGGGTGGCCTGGTGGCTGGATTGGGTGACCTGATGGTTATCCTGAGTGACCTGATAGTTGGGCTTGGTGACCTGATGGTTGGGTTTGGTGACCTGATAGTTGGGCTGGATGATCTGATGGTTGGGCTGGGTGACCTGATAGTTGGGCTTGGTGACCTGATGGTTATCCTGAGTGACCTGATAGTTGGGCTTGGTGACCTGATGGTTGGACTGGGTGACCTGATGGTTGGACTGGGTGACCTGATAGTTGGGCTTGGTGACCTGATGGTTGGGCTTGGTGACCTGGTGGCTGGATTGGGTGACCTGATGGTTATCCTGAGTGACCTGATGATTGGACTTGGTGACCTGATGGTCTTAGTGATCTTTTCCAACCTTAACGATTCTATGATTCTGTATCCTTCTAGGAGGAACATGGCTACCCCATTGTTTGTGTTGGGTCTGCACCCAGCTGCAACATCTGGCCCCAAGATGATAGGGGGTTGCAGCCAGAGTTGGTGTTGTCAAGGGTATTTGTGCTGGGCTCCCACCCCATGCGTGGTAGGAAGGGGCCCCGAGGATCATCAAGCTGTGCTGACGTGGTTAATGAAGAGGGATTGCTAGAATTGTTCATTTGAAACTTTCTAGAGGCTAAATGAAATATATTACTTAAAAAAAAATTAAAAAAAAATAAAAAACACCTTAAAAAAGCAACAACATCTGGTTAGTAGCATCCGTATTTGGAGTTGAGCTGCCGACCTTCAACCCCATTAAAATCACAGATGCAGTGGAGGATGCAAATGAGCCTGGTGCATTCTGGAAGGGGGGCCCGTCTTTGCATACGTGTGCAGTGGTTCAGCTCTGCAGGTGTTGTTCTGTTCTGCCACTTCCATGCACACTCCCATGCAGACATTCACAAGAGCACAGCCTCAGTGTGTGGAGACTTAATTACACGTTGCTTATTAGAGATGGCCTGTCAGCATGGTGGTTGGGCAGCCGAGGTGGCAGCTTTATCGCCTCTTTGCAGGAGTCGTGCAATTTCTTTGTCATCATATATGGTAATGTATGCACTGCAGCACGGCGTGGGGTGAGATTCAATGAATAATGGAAAACCCAGAGTCATGTTGAATCTATATTGGCCGTGCTGTTTCCCCACCAGTTATCTTTAAAAGGCAAATATTAATTTGGGGGGCTTAGAGCAGTTTTAGAGCATCTCGGTCCCTGCAGCAGGTGCAGTTTGTTGGAAGGCTGCAATGAACTATTTGCCAGCACGGGGGCTGCAAGACGTGCTGTTGCAATGGCCACTTTCTATCCTCATATGGCCATGCTGCTGATTTGGGCTCTGGTAGATCCCACAACACGACCTACCAAAAAACATGCCCAAGGAAGTGCTGGTTGCTGGTTGCACTTGATGGTGTTAGAGGTCTTTTCCAATCTTAATGATTCTGTAGTTCTGTGATTCAGTGACATGGGTAGTGGGCATGGTGATGATGGGTTGACAGTTGGACTTGATGATCTCCTAAGGTCTTTTCTGACTGTGATTCGGTGACATGGTGTAGTTGGCGTGGTTGGTGACGAGTTGACAGTTGGACTTTGATGATCTTAGAGGTCTTTTCCAACCTTAACGATTCTGTGGTTCTGTGATTCTCTGACATGGTTAATTGGCATGTTGGTGATGAGTTGACAGTTGGACTTGATGATCTTAGAAGTCTTTTCCAACCTTAACGATTCCCTGGTTCTGTGATTCTCTGACATGGTTAGTGAGCATGGTGGTGATGAGTTGACAGTAGGATCTGATGATCGTAAAGGTCTATTCCAACCTTAACAACTCTTTGATTTCTTTCTTTCCTGCCTTCCTTCCCCAGTTGCTGTCTGTGAATGCTAATTAGGATGGATAATTTCTGTTTGTTTTCTTTTTTGCTTTAACCAAATCCCTTCTATTATGATCTGTATCATTTATTTCTGCGGGCCATTATCTCAGTGTCATTACAGCGTTTTAGCAGCTGAATGAAAACATCCGAAGGAAGCCAGAAGTCGTTAGGCACAACATTCTGTGATAACAGCCATAATTCTCGTGATAGAAAAAAAAATAAGGAAAAGGGAAAACAAGAAGTGTGATGAGTTCAGGAAACAGCACAAATGGAGCTGCAGTTGTGCAGTGACACCGTGATGTTTGTGCTCTGCAGTCACCAGTGCTGTAGCGAGGAGTTCTACAAGTGAATGTCGGTGGGGAGGGCTGGGGGTAAAAGCTGCTTTTTGTCTCTTTGCATGGATTTTACGATTTCAGTTGTCTTTTTTGTTTTTAAGGAGGGAAAGGTCCAGTGTTTATGTCCTGGGTAGGGATGTGACAAAGATGTTCCACTGAATGACGTGGTTTCATGGCACGGTGGTGTTGGCTTGATGGTTGGATTTGATGATCTTCGTGCTCTTTTCCAACCTGAATGATTCTATGGAAGGCAAGGTTTGGATTTTTCTGTTGTTCTCTGAGCAATGGTTGCAAAGCCATCAGGTTGGAGAAGTTTCTTCTCCAGAAGAGCAGTGATGTGTTGGCACAGGGACTGGAGGGGTCACCATCCCTGGAGGTGTTCATTGTGGAGATGTGGCACTGAGGGACGTGGCCAAGGGGGGCTGGGGTTGGATTTGGTGATCTCAAAGGACTTCTCCAACATTCATGATTCTGTGGTTCAGGAGCATGAAATCCTTGCAGGCTGCAAGCAGAGCCGAGTTCCTGCAAGAGAAAAGATGAGTTACCAAAAGGAAAAGCAAGCAACTCTTGTTTTGAAACCTCTCCTTGATGCTTTTACTTGAAGCAATGTAATCCAACAGGAAAAGAAACTGAAACCAGCACTGGGTTTTCCCCTGCCAGCCCTGCCTATGCCCCCGTGTTGTAACTGCATTTCATCAGCTGCTGTCTTGCAGTGGTCCCGGAGGATCAGCCCTTGGGGGATGGACGCTGCTGAGGCTCAAGTTCATGGTGACCCCAGTTGTGCAGGGCTGCAGGAGCAGGTGGAGGTTGGGCTTTTCAGCCCAGCCTTGGATCGTGGTATCATTCAGGTTGGCAATGACCTCTCCAACCATCATCCCACCCCCACCATGCCTGCTGAGCGTGTCCCTAACGAAGGTGCTGGTGTCCCAGGGTTCATTTCCCTGTTTCATTTCCAGCAGCAGCACAAGAAGCATTGCTTCAGATCCTTCCTATACTCCAGCATTCAGCTTCAGCACGAAGCAGCTCACAAGCCAGACTGATGGAATAAAACAGCACTGCACAACAGAAAATCAACCACACGTGCCTCCCATTGCATGAAACGACAGGCGCCGTGCCCTCCCGTGCCTCAGTTTCCCCACCCAGCGCTTCTTTCCGCCTCCTTTCGGGTTCCTTTTTGCTTCCTTTGCATTCCTACCCGGCCAGGACAAGCCACTCCTCCGGCGGGTGACATCAGGCTGGAGCCCAGCGGGGCCCTGCATGGCCGCCATGCAGCAGGGAGTGGGGACAAGGAAGGGGACAGCAGCAGGGAGCGGGGGAACGCAGGGGAACGTGGGACGAGCTGGCTGGAATCCCACGGGTAAGAGCTCAGAGATGGGGCAGGGAAGTGGGGGGAGAAAGGGGGAGGAGGGGTTCCGCCAGGCGTCCCCGCTTGGTTTTGAGGGCTGTTTGTTGTTATTTCTTATTTCTGTGATTGCTTTTAATCTTCTTTCTCTCGGCCGTTCTTCCGCGCTGCTTTCTATCCCGTCCCTCTCCGCGTTTTCCCTTGTTTGTTTTCTGCCTGCTTCCTTTCGCTCCCTGCAGGAGGAAACAAAAACCAAACCCTCGCCGACTCTCTGCTCTTCCCCAATGCTCTGTGGGTTTCCCCCCCTCCCCTTGTACCCTGGGGGGGGGGGATCACGGCAGTGCCACCCCCTCCATCCTCCTGCCCTCCCCTCCTGCGTGTGCTGTATGGCTGTTAGTAGGGTTTCGTTTCTATCCCAGTACTGGAGGTGCCCCAGTGGTCGCGGATGGGCTCTGCAAAGTGCCACATCCTCAGGATTATCCCAGCAGGAAGGCAGTGCTGCTATGGGGGGAGGTTTGGAGCTGTCCCAACGGCAAGATGGGGATGGGCACGATGGGTTTGAGCAGGCATTGGGGTCCTTCTGTAGGTCAGAATGTGTTTGGGGCTCTCTAAAGGAACATAGCCTGGAAATTTGGTGGTTTTCCCCCATTTTATTGCCTGCTGGAGGGGGGGGGAACAACACACATGGATGTTTCCCACACCAGGGCTGCTTTGGTGTGAACCTTCCCCAGGTACCCAAAATCAGACCAAACCAGAAGCATCATGGGGTGCTCTTCAAGTACGAGTTTGACTCATCCCTAAGTCCTTAAATCCCTGCTTTTCTCTGATACCATTCTGATACCGTCCCAGGGGGAGATGCACCCATGTGTGTGTGTGTGTGCACGTATGGAGGTCTGACAGCACCTTGGAAGTTTGTTGCTATCAGCTGAGGTAGAATTAACAGCTAATTATTGTCTAGGTTTTCATCAGCGAGTCCAGGAAACGTTTAAATTGATGCTTGGGTTTAAAAAGCAGCCGTGCCCAAGCGCTGCGTTAGGGGCGTTCGCCACGGATGCTTCCAAAAATTAAATGAAAATTATTATTAATATTTAAAAATAATAATAATAATGATCTCTCTGGTTATTTGCATTGTCTGTCAGCACGTTAATCGGTGCTCAGAGCGTAAAGGGTGGAGAATGCGGCGGGGTCGTGGATGTTGAATGCTATCAGCTAAAATATAATTAACAGCCAATTATTTAAGTGTGCGAATGGCAGTTTTTTGTCAATTAGGAAACGTTTAAGTGGCGTTGATTTCTGGCTGCTCTGGGTGCTGCAGTGCGAGGAGGGAGCTCCTTCCATCCCCATTAATTGCGATGCTTCGTTATGGCGTGGGGATGAGCCCAGCCAGTGAAGCAAAAAGGGAAGAGGGCAAAAAAAAAATAGGGTTAAAAAAGAGAGGAAAAATGCGTTGTGGGAGCTTTTTGCACTGGGGTTTGGCCATAGGGAGGTGAAACAGAAGATCCTGTGATGCTGTGAAGAAGGGGGTGGGATCCTTCCAGCACCTTGGGTTGAATCTGAGCTGGTTTGGATGAAGGCAGAGATGGATGGTGTGCGGTTGGGTCTGGGGCAGCATCTCCTGGTGGGGTTGTAAGCTGCTCCCAGTGGTGTATGGGGATGTGGAACATTCATTGAGATGCTTAAGCTGGACGTAGAGCATGGGGGTTTGGTTTATTTCCTGCTGAAAGGTTTCTCCCAGCATCCGTGCAGCTCCCAGCATGACTTGCTTGAGCATAGCAAGAGATACAGGATTTATCCCCTAAAACCTTCAGTTTATGAGTTGCACTTTGGTCCATGTGTAGACACCATTAGATGGACAGATGGAGATAGATAGCTGGGTTGTACATTGTACCATTGGGTAGAAGTGGATAGATGCAGGTAGATGGGTAGGTATTAAATGCCCTTGGGTGAACCATCCTTGCCATGGTTGGGGCTCCTTCTCTCCCACCAACTGTGCATCTCTGTAGAAAAGTCACTTTTTTAGCAATAAAACAAGGAGTTCAAAAAGTTCTCTAAAAAAAAGGTAAGAAGTTAATAAGCATAAAAAGATTTTGAAGATTTAAGGTTTGTTGCTTGCCAAGCACACTGGTTTGGCCTCATGTATTTATTGCATCCTAGGTAGGACCTGTAGAATCTCATAGACCTCAGTGTACATCTGTGACCCTGTACGTAACAGGGGGGTTGAAACTAGGTGATCACTGTGGTCGTTTTCAACCCAGACCATTCTATGATTCCAACCTAAGACCTTCAGTTGGGATGATTGGACCAGCATTGCCCATATGCAAGTGGGGATGCAGTAGGCACCAAATGAATCCTGATGGGGGTTTAATTAGCTGATAGCACGGCTTGCAGAGGAGCTGGTTGGAGTTGAACGTGTGTGGTTAATCATTGGCCATGGGGCTGATGGCTGGGGTTGTGAGAGGGGAGAAACAGCACAAGGTGGGCTGGGGTGGGCATGGGAGGAGAAAGAATGGATGGCAATGGAGTTGTGTGGTTGGTTGCTTGCAGAAATGGGATTTTTGTGGCATTTGGGCTGGTAAGGACGTGGGAATGGTCGTGTGCAGAAGTGGGGGAAAGGGGATTTTAATGGGGTTTGGGGAGGCAGGTCTGTGTGCAGGAGGGAAGCTTTGCACTGCAGCCAGGCAGTCAGTTTTGTACCGATGGCCTTTGGCAGTGCACACATTGTGTGTCTGCTCAGCCAGGCTTTGCTTGCACTGCATGGACCCGGTGCATTTGCCTTGATTTCCCACGTGCTGGAGGCCAAAAATCTGAATTTCTCCTTGCCCCTTGGGAAATGGTAACGTGGGCAGAGCTGAGCTGTGCTCTTGGACACCGATTTATCCGAGCTTTTTGTGAGAATTTCAAGAAAGCACTCTGGACTTTAATGAAATCCCCAGCCCACAGCTCGAATGTTCCTCGTTAGTGACTTTATTGCTAAATAATTTACAGAAGGAGGCCTTGCCAGTTTTCATAAGGGAAGCATTTCAAGTATGCAAAGCAGATTTTATGCCTTCCCGGAGCAGCTGCTGGCTCAGGGATGGGGGACCAGCACTATGCTGGCTCTGCCCCATTTATTCTGCATCTATAGGGAAGGTGGGAGGCAGCAGTGCAGGTAGGGCAGGAGATGTTTCTTTCCAAAATAAGCCCCAAATTCCCATACTGTGTGAGCAAACGGTGGGGGAAGGACCCACACAGTGCAGGCATTGGTTTTATGGCTCCTGTTCACTTGTTGTTTCTGTCTCCCCAGCACTGCTGAGAGAGGAGGTGGCCCAGCTGCAGGAGGAGGTGCACCTGCTCCGGCAAATGAAGGAGATGCTAACGAAGGAGCTGGAGGAGACACATGGCAGCAAATCCCCCGAGGTGCTGTCGGCCACTGAGCTCAAGGTGCAGCTGGCACAGAAGGAGCAGGAGCTGGCACGGGCCAAGGAGGCTCTGCAGGGTAAGGGCTGCCTTTCCCTCTAGGGCTTTATTCCACGCATCCCATAACCCCAGAGCAAATTAATTAGCCAGGGAAGGAAAAGCTATCCCTGTTATTTGGGTGAGGGGGTGTGTTTTTGTGGGGTGAGGTTGGGGGCGCAAGCAGAGCATCCCCAGCAGGCTGGGAAATTGGGCACGTCGGGTGCAAAGTCGTCGTTGTACAGAGCAAAACTGAGCTGAAATGCAGATGGAGAGTATGATGAGATGAGTTTGGTTCAGGTTTGAGCTCCTTGGAGCCATTGAGGAAGGAGGCAGAGCATTGCTTGGTGATGCATGCATTGTGCTGGTGTAGGGAACCTGCTTTGGGGGGGGGTTGGACTCGATGATCTCTGGAGGTCCCTTCCAACCCCTACAATTCTGTGATTCTGTGATCCTCCTGCATGGAGCTTGCTGAAGGGTTGTGTTGCAGGACAGAACCTGATGTTGGAGGCTTTCCTCCTCCAAAAAGCACTTCTTGGTGAATAAACTCGAGTAAGTGAAGGCTGGATGGTGTGGTACCCAGGGTGAGGGCACTGTGTGGGGCTGTGGGGAAGGGAAGAGAAGGGAAAGGGAAATTGTAAGGGAAAAGGAAGGGAAGGAGAAGGAAGGGAAGGAAAAGGGTAAAGGAGGGTAAAGGGAAAAGTTAAGGGAAGGAAAAAAGAGGGAAAGGAAAGGAGAAGGAAGGACAAAGAAAAGGGAAGGAAAAAGAAAAGTCATCCCTGGTCTTTTTCAGTTTTCAGTTTTATTGCTCTTTGATGGTGTGCACATAAAACAAAGAGACTTTTTTTAGAGTTTTTGCTAAGTTCCAAGGGTTGGAAATGGTTCTTGTGGGCTATTTGAGCAGGATGGCTTGCCCCCTCTCCATGGGAAATCGTGGTGTAGTTGTATGCAAAAAGCCAAAACTGAGCAGCAAGCTTTCCACTGCTCTGCCATAATGGTTTGAGAATCACGAATGCTTCTAGAATATGGTGATGCTTTGCTTTCTCTCAGTTGGGCTCTTATTGGTCAGCTATAGAAGCCACTGGGATTTGTTTTGCAGGACTTCCTTGCAGGTGTGAGGGATGGGGCGAGGGAATCTCGACTCACACTTGTGAGCAGCTCAGCCAACAGCCCATTCACATCCCTTCCTCCTCCCTCCTTCCAACCTTGGAAGCCTTTTCCCGTCCTTTGGCAAAGCCCACAGTGCTGGATCCATCCCCACGGGCTGGGCGGCAGCGCAGCGCTTACGGGACGCTGCAGAAATCCTTTTTCCTTCCCATGAAAACTCCTGCCAAAAACAAAAAGGGCAGCAGCACCAGAAAAAGAAAAAAGGAAAAGGAAAAAAAAAAACCAAAAAAAAACAAAAACCCTACATTTGGGGAATGGTGCTGATGGGAACGTGGCCAGGCTCTGCTCGGCTGCAGGATCTCAGGCTCCTGTCCCCACGCACGGCTGCAGCATCCTCCCTGCTGGCTGCATGCACGCTGTGTTCTTAGCAGGCAAGTGATGGGGAAATTGTAGGGGAATGTTAGGGAAATCCGCTGCCATGCTTGGCTGAGAGCCTGGAAGCACTGCAGAGGCAGAGGGTGAGGGAGGGGAGGATCCAGCCTCTATGGCATCCCAGCACCTCCATAAGGGTCTGGTTTGGGGTTGGAGAGGCGTGAGTGGAGCCTCGATCTGTAGGGAAATGCCTTCCTGGGTTGTCCCACGCCAACGAGCCCTTCCTGCTGCGGAAGGGAGAGGAGAGCAGCTCTTCCTGCTGCCGTCGTGCAGCCGTTTACATCTCCCAGCAAAGAACTGGTGTGGTGTGGGATGAGGCTCAGAGCGGGATGTTGTGTTGCAGCTCCTTCCTCTGGGCTGGTTCTGTCCTTTGGGCCTTATTTTGTGATAGCAGAATGTCCAGGATGGAATCATGTGAAGTCCTGGGGAATCCTGTGAGGTGGAGTGGGGGGGATCTGGGGTCCCCCAGCAGGTGAGGGTGGATATGGGGTGTCCAGGAGATGGAGGTGGATCTGGGGTCCCCCATCAGGTAGAAGTGAAAATGGGATCCCCATGAGGTGGATGGGGGGTCCCCCCCAGGAAATGGGGCTGGATACTGGGTTCCCTCAGCAGATAAGGGTGGAGGTGGGGTCCCCAGGAGATGGAGTTGGATCTGGTGTCCCTCAGCAGATAAGGGTAGATAAGGGATCCCCATGAGAAGGAGGTGGATATGGGATCCCCCAGGAGATGGAGGTGAATCTGGTAGATAAGGATGGATGTGGGGTTCCCAGGAGATATGGAGGTAGATGACCATGGTCAAGGACCTGAAGAAGACCCTTAACATCCCAACATAAGGCAGTGACCACCTCCTTGTTGCCCATTTGGGTCTGGTTTGGTTTGGAAAGCCTTTGGCTTCCTGCTGGGGCGTTTCCTCGCAAATTCCTTCAAGGCAGAATCTCCCATGGAAATTCTTTTCCTAAAAGCCAGTGTTGCACGGGGATGTCCCATTTCTGCATGGGCAGATGCTGGCTGCAGAGTGCCAGCAAGATGCTGCGTGCAGGTGTCAAAGGCTGGGCTCAATAAGTGTGTATTTAATTACAGAGCAAAGATCCCCACGCAAGACTGCCCAATTTTATGGGTTAGTCACAGTGACAACATTGGATTTCATGGTTGGAATGGAGAAACAGGAGAAATTAAGTGAATGTTAATGCGACACGATGGGTTTGTGCATCCCTCCTGTGCAGGGCTGGTAGTTCTTCCATTTGGAATCACATGAATGTGATTAGGGAAGGCTTAGATTAGAGATTAGGAGGAAGTTTTTCACACAGAGGGTGGTGATGCATTGGAACAGGTTGCCCAAGGAGGCTGTGGATGCCCCATCCATGGAGGAATTCAAGGCCAGGCTGGATGTGGCTCTGGGCAGCCTGGGCTGCTGGTTGGTGACCTGCACACAGCAGGGGGTTGGAACTGGATGAACGTTGTGCTCCTGTGCAGCCCTGGCCATTCTATGATGTGATTCTACAAATGTGATCGTAGAGTCATTAAGGTTGGAGAAAACCTCTAGGATCGTGTAGTCTGACCTTATGGTGTGGTGGAACGCAGCAGCAGGAAGCCAACCCTACAGAAGGTGGTGATGCTGGGGACCTGGGTTACCCCACTGCTCTCTTTGCAGCCATGAAAGCCGACCGCAAGCGCTTGAAGGCGGAGAAAACAGACCTGGTGAGCCAAATGCAGCAGCTCTACGCCACGCTGGAGAGCCGCGAGGAGCAGCTCCGCGACTTCATCCGCAACTACGAGCAGCACCGGAAGGTGAGAGCTTGGCTTCTCTTCCTTTGGGGCTTCAGGTTGGATTTCTTTGGGGTTGACCCTAAAGGCCATCTGGGCCAATCGCCCTGCAGTGCGCAGGGACACCCACAGCTCTATCTGTGCTCAGAACCCCTCCAGCCTGACCTTGGGTGTCTGCAGGGCGTCACCACCATATCTCCAGGCAGCCCCATTTAACTGCTTCCTTTTGCTAGCCAAAGCCCTAAGGCAGCTTGCTCCCAGCAAGGTTGGAGCGTGCAGAGCACACACACAAGCAGTTGCTCTGTAATAAAGAGCATTTTTGGGATGCTTTCGGGATGGAAAGCTGGGGGGTTGCAGCGAGGCTTCCTGTTGTGCTCGCGGTTCTGCCATCCGCAGGCACGAGCGAGCGTGGGAACTCAGCTCCCACAGCTATTCTGGGCTTTTTTCCATGCAAAGGGAGAAATTTGCTATTTTTGAAGGCTGGTGCCATAGGAGCAGCGCTCACAGCCAGCTCTGGGTTAGCTGGGGCAGCCACGGGGACATTTTTTCCCCTGCCACGAGGAAGTCATTACAATCGTCAGCGCACAGAAAAAAAGCAAGGAGCATGGAGTGAGGTGCTGGCAGTGCTCTCCAGCTTTGGGGCACGGTGCTTGCATCCTGTTTGAGGTGCAAATGTCTCATTTTAGGGCACGGGCATCCCATTTTGGGGCATGGATATCCAGTTTGGGGGCACAGGTGTCCAGTTTTGGGGCACAGGCGTTTCATTTTGGGGCACGGACATCCCATTTTGGGGCACAGGTGTCCAGATTGGAGCACAGGTGTCCAATTTTGGGATACAGACATCCCATTTTGAGGCACAGGCGTCCAGTTTTGGGCACAGGCATCTCGATTTGGCGCACAGGCATCCCATTTTGGGATACAACTGTCCCATCTTGGACACAAGGATCCCATTTTGGTGCACAGGCGTCCCATTTTGGGACACAGTACCTGCAGGGAGGGCCAGGAAGGAGGAAATTTTGGCCATTCCCTGTCTCAACACCTTCCCTGTGTTGCACCAGGAGAGTGAGGATGCAGTGAAAGCCCTGGCCAAGGAGAAGGACCTGCTGGAACGGGAGAAATGGGAGCTGCGGCGGCAAGCCAAGGAAGCCACCGACCACGCCAGCGCCCTGCGCTCCCAGCTTGACCTCAAAGACAACAGAATGAAGGAGCTGGAGGCCGAGCTGGCCATGGTGAGCACAGCCTTACAGCATTTCCCAGCTGTGGGAGATGCCTGGTTTGGGTCAGGGCTCAGCATTTGTTGCATCGAGGTGAATGGAGCGGAGTCGCAGTGTTGCGTTTGAGCACTGTCACCAGATTGCATTTTTAGGGTTTGCTGCTGCATTGCGTGGGTTCGTTGCAGCATTGCATCCAAATGCTATCTCCAGTGCTGCAGCATTGCATCCAAGTATTGATTTCGGTGTCCCCACAGGCCAAGCAATCACTGGCCACGCTGACCAAGGACGTCCCCAAGCGCCATTCCTTGGCCATGCCAGGTGAGACGGTGCTGAATGGCAACCAGGAGTGGGTGCTGCAAGCTGACCTACCACTCACTGCTGCCATCCGACAGAGCCAGCAGACCCTGTACCACTCCCACCCCGCACACTCGGCTGACCGGCAAGGTGAGACCTCCACCAGCTTTGTTTTTGCTTGGGTTGTTGCTGGGATCTTTAATGGGATCAGTGGTTTTGCATGGAGGGGTCTTGTTTGTTTTGCATGGGTCTGGGTCTTGCACAGGGGTTTGCACAGGGGGTTGCTGGGGTTTAGGACAGCGTCAACCTTCTTGCATTTGCTTGCTTGGGTTTTTATGGGTTTAGGTTTTACACAGGGGGGTTGCTGGGGTGTAGAGCAGGATCTGGGTTTTGCACAGGGCGCATTTGTTTTATTGCACCGCGGGCTGAGCCTCTGCATGGGGGTTGAGGTTGTGCATGGGAGGTTGCAGAGGGTTTTGCACAGGTTTAGGCCTTGCACAACAGGCTGGGGTTTTTCATGGGAGTTTAGGTCTTGCATAGGAGGTTGCTGGGATTGTGAACAGAACCTTTGCACAGGGAATACTTGGGGTTGTTTTGCACAAGGAGGTGCACAGGATCAGACTTTTTGCACAGGTTTAGGTTTTGCAGAGCAGGCTGGAGTTTCGCATAAGGGTTTAGGTTTTTTGCACCAGGAGTTGCTGGGGTTTTGGACAGAACCCAGGGTTTTGCACAGGGCATACAGGGGATTTTGCACAGCAGGCTCAGGTTTTGCGTAAAGGGTTTGGGAACTGTTGAGTTTTTGAACAGGAATTGGTTTTAAACAGGCTTAGGTCTTGCACTGGGGTTTTGCACAGAGGTTTAGGTTTCGCACGGGGAGTTGCTGTGCTTTTGAGCAGGATCACCTGGGTTATTGGTGGATTTGGGTTTTGCACTGCAGGGTTTTGCATAGGGATTTAAGTTACGCCCGGGGTATTGCTGGCTTCTTGCACAGGATCTGGCATTTGCATGAGGGTTTCGCTCACGCTGGGGGGCAGCCCTACACCCCAGCTTTGCCACTGCTGACCCCCCATCTCCCCATTGCCTCACAGCAGTCAGGGTGAGCCCCTGCCACTCCAGGCAGCCGTCCATCATCTCCGACGCGTCAGCAGCAGAAGGTGACCGATCGTCCACGCCGAGCGACATCAACTCGCCGCGACACCGGACGCATTCGCTCTGCAACGTAAGTCCCAGGGGCAGCCAGGTACTGCAGGGTGCCCACGTTGTGTTTCTGCTGTTTCAACATCACCTGTTTCCCTTCTTGCTGCAGGGGGACAGCCCCGGACCGGTACAGAAGAACTTGCACAACCCCATCGTACAGGTAGGGCTGCAATCCACTGGAAACCCTGCTCCCGAAAGCACATCCTGCACTAGAGAGTGGTTTTGGGGATACCTAGAGGCACCGATGGAATTATTGAGTTATTCTTAAATGTTTTACCCCAAAAAAGCTGTGGGTGTTCATGCAGATGGTAGCTAGGCCTCCCTGTGGCTGTGCCATGTAGCTGACATCCTATAGCGATGGCACTGAGAAACCAAACTCCTGATAGCGTGGGGTGGGAAGAGGTAGGGTCTCCCAGTGACTTCAGATACAAAAGTTCAGGACCTGGACCTCACAGAACCTTCATTGGGTTCTGTGTACTTGGTGGTGTTGAACATCCCCAGGGGTGTTCAACATGGAGATGTGTTGGGAATGTGGTCAGTGAGCGTGACAGGACGGGTTGATGGTTGGACTTGGTGATCTTGGAGGTTTTCTCCAAATTTAATGATTCTATTTAGGGACACGATCAGTGGGCATGGTGGGGATAGGTTTATTGTTGAACTTGATGACCTCGGGGGTCTTCTCCAAACCTTAATTATTCTATCATTCTATTTGGGGTTGGGTTGATGGTTGGACTCGATGATCTTGGAAGCCTTCTCCACCTTTCATGATTCTGTCTAGAGATACAATCAGTGGGCAAGGTGGGGATGGGTTGATGGTTGGACTTGATGATCTTGCAGGTCTGCTCCAATCTTAATTATTCTATCATTCAATTTGGGGACACGATCAGTGGGCACGGTAGGGTCTGTTAATGGTTGGACTTGATGGTGTTGGAGGTCTTCTCCAACCTTAATTATTCTTCCATTCAATTTGGGGACATGATCAGTGGGCATTGTAGGGTCTGTTGATGGTTGGACTTGATGGTGTTGGAGATCTGCTCCAACCTTAATTATTTTATCATTCAATTTGGGGGACACAATCAGTGGGCATTGTAGGGTCTGTTGATGTTTGGACTTGATGGTCTTGGAGGTCTGCTCCAATCTTAATTATTCTATCATTCAATTTGGGGGACACAATCAGTGGGGATGGTAGGGATGTGTTGATGATCTTGGAGGTCTTCTCCAACCTTCATGGTCTGGTGATTCTGTGACATAGTTTAGTGAGCAGTGGGGATGGGTTGCCTACCTCATGCATGGGAGCCTCACCCACGCCCCGCAGCCCCAATGCAGGCAACACCTTATTGACAAATCCCCCAGCAAAACCCCAAAGATCAGCCATACCACCTCCACCCCTCCTCTCCCTGCAGTCTCTGGAAGACCTCGAGGACCAAAAACGGAAAAAGAAGAAGGAGAAGATGGGCTTTGGTTCCATCTCACGGGTGTTCGCCCGGGGCAAGCAGCGCAAATCCCTCGACCCAGGGCTGTTTGATGGCACGGCCCCCGACTACTACATCGAGGAGGATGCGGACTGGTGACCCCTCGCCCCCAACAATGTACAGCCCCCATGTGTGCACACCCAGTCACCGTGTAATTTCGTCCCAACCCTTCCCCCCTTGTATTTCAATTTTATTTTTTTAAGCATTCCAGTAACTCTTCCTTTTGTCGTCACTTCTTTATTTTATTTTTTTTTTGTCGTTTGGGGGATTATTGTTTTTTTTTTTTCTTGTTTTCTTTCGTTTGTTTCGTTTTCGTTCCCCAAACCTCCCTCCTTTTCGACAAAACTTGAAACTTGAAGGACTGCTGTGTGTCTGTAAATAACGGGAATCTCGTGCACTTTGTGCTTGTGACGTCTCTTGTCCGAAACCGCTGGTTGTTTTTTTTTTGGAGCCTGTCCTGCGTGGGGACCCCACTTCAGAAAAGGGGATCCCAACATCTTCAGAGACATGGAAAAAAGAAAGCAAAACCAAGAAACGAAACCCACCCAAATGGCATTCACCCGAGGAGGTGGCAGCACACGGGCTCGTCGTAACGCCTTCTGGAATCTGTGTTTTTTTTTTTCCCCCCCTTTTCCCTTGTGTCGTTTTTAATTTATTTGCACAAACCCAGAGAGGAGCTATTCTAACTAAATTATTACAGAAATGTTGGGGTTTTTTTTTGTGTTTTTTTTTTTTTTTTAATTCTTTTTTGTGTTCTTGTCGTCCTTTTTTTTTTTTATATATATATATTTTTTTTTTCCACGTCGCTGGGGAGGAGGTGGAAGGGGTTGGGGAACGGGGACGGCGTGGGAGCACTTAAAGCCTTGGAAAAACCCAGCGACCTCGGAGCTTCCCAATGTGGATTTGGGATGCTCGCCCTTTGCTGGCATTAAAACGGGGGGCGCTGGGGGGCCAAGGGAAAGCAACGTCCCTGTAGAGCAGTGCCAATTTGAAGGGGGACGCTTGGAAACCGCGCTCCGCTTAACGACGAGCTCGCAAACCTGTATGCTTTAACGCTCAGCGGTGTCATTGGAAGCTCTTAAGAGGAAAAAAAGAAAGCAAAACAAAGTATGAAGATTTATTTAATAGTGCTATAATAGTGTCTTATTTTTCTGAACTGAGACGCGCGCCCCGTTTGAATGGGGAATATTTTGTCTTAAATGGCAGAAATTCACTCCCGCGCTCTGCGTTCCCCCATGTGATGCTGTGGGGAGGGCCGGGCAGCAAAAGCAGAACTTTTCTGCAGAAAAGCTGATTTTTTTTTTTTAATTATTATTTTTTTTTAATACATTGACTTTTTTTTTAATCATTTTGTTTTTCTCCTCGCATTTCTTTCTATTTTTATTTTTTTTTAAATAATTTAAACTCTCCGCCGACGAAAGCAGACGAGCGATTTCCCTCGGTATCCAGTAGTTTCCTTTTGCATTTCAGCTTTTTTTTTTTTTTTTTTTTTTTTTATTTTGTAAATTAGGAAATAATTCTAAAAAAAAAAAAAAAAAAAGAAAGAAAAAAAGAAAAAAAAAAAAAAAAAAGAACTTACTAAGAGGATGATTTATTTAAGAGAGAACTTCGGGAAATAGCATATGGATTATGGGTAACCTTAGATTTAACTTTTTTTTCCCCCCCCAGTGAAGGGGGGGGAGGATCCTTGAAGGCATGGATGCAAATATTACAAACAAACAGACAAAAAAAAAATTATAAAAAATCTAAATAAAGCTTATTTTAAAGTACGGGTGAGCTCCACGTGGTTCAATTGAGGTTGGGGATTGGTGTTGGGTTGGGTTGGGCACTGGGTTGATTTGTCTTCATGTCCTGGCCAATGGGATCCCTTGGGTGGTGCAGAGGGGACATGGCAGTGGGGTGGAGGTGGGTGTAGGGCACTGGGCAGCTCAGCATCGTTGCAGCACCTTTTGGGTGCCAATGGGGCATGCTGTTGGCTGCCCCACCAGCAACGCCATCTTCATCATGGGATGGGTTTGGGTTATTTGACCCGTGGGAGCAAACAGAGTTGGGATTTCCTATAGGTAAGGATGTGGGCCAAGATCCGTTCAGGATCCGTGGATGTGATGCCAGGGATGGAGTCCACCTTGGAGGCCAAGGCGATGGGATGGGCATGGGAAAGGTGTAGGGCAGGATGTCCCTGTTGTGCATGGAGCAACCCGACGCCAATCCAAGGTGGTGCAACCTGCAGAAAACAGGTAAGAATCCCTTTTTTTATCCCATAGGGCAGCACAGCAGGAAAATATCTTCCCATGTGCTTGGTTTTCTACCCCGTATCTTGGGGTCAGGTTGTGCGTAGTTGGGTCTGCCCATTTCCCAACAGGCTGAGATTGGCTTTTTGGACTGGAGGATGCCAAGGTAACCACGGATAATACAGAACAGCAACGAAATACAATGAACATTTGATACTTTACACATCTAAAGCCCACGGTGTTGTGCATGGAACCAAGCAGGAGCGTTGTGAGCAATGGGAAGGGAAACACGCACCAGCTGCCAGCTGGCAGTGCAGCCCTGTTAATTAGCACTATGATGGAGTATTAATGGGAATAAAACATGGCATTGAGGTGTGACTATAGTGAGATAAGCCCGGCGCAGTCCGTGGCTGAGGTTGGTGGCAAATATTTGCTGATGCCATATTGTGTGACTGCCAGAGCTGAAGGAAACTGCACTGTTGAAGCCAGTTTGAAGAATGTGACCTGAAATCTATGGTTGACCTTTAAGTTGTTCCTGTTTTTAAGGCTGGCTGTTGCTAACTAGTCTGTGTGCATCCCTACTTCATCCCTGCTGTGTCTCTGTTGCATCTCTGCTGCACCCCTACTGCATCCCTGCTGCATTCCCAGTGCATCCCTACCATATCCTTGCTGCATCCCTGCTGCATCCCCATTCCAACCCATCATCTGCATCCCCATCACATCCTTGCTGCATCCCTACTTCATCTCTTCTGCATCCGTGCTGTATCCTCTTTCCATCCCCTCTTTCCATTCCCCCCTACATCCCTACTGCGTCCCCAATGCATCCCTGCCGCATCCCTACTGCTCTCCAGCGCATCCCAGCTGCATCCTCACTACATCCCTGTTGCATCCCGTTGTGTCCCCGCCGAGCATCCCTCCCACCCCCGGAAGGGCTCAGCTGTGCTCCAGTTGCTGCTACGCCCTATGGACAGAGGAGGGAGCACGCAGCCAGGATTTCTCGCCGCCGCAGCGCTGAGCGTTCCGTGGAGAACCCAAAGAAACGCAGAGGTGTGTCCTATTCCTGAATCAACCCTATAAAACAGCTGTCCTCACTCAGATGCATGAGGGCTGGGGGCTCAGCTCAACCCAAACCCGACTCCTCTTCTTCCAAAGGGCTGCAGGCATGAGGTTGGCGTTGGGCACGGTGATGGTGTTGGGCACGGTGATGGTGTTGGGTATGATGATGGTGTTGGGTATGATGATGGTGCTGGGCATGGTGATGGTTTTGGTTATGGTGGTGGTGCTGGGTATGAGGTTGGCTTTGGGCATGGTGATGGCACTGGGCATGGTGACGGTGTTGGGTATGAGGTTGGTTTTGGGCATGGTGATGGCACTGGGCATGGTGATGGTGTTGGGTATGAGGTTGGCTTTGGGCATGGTGATAGTGCTGGGCATGGTGATGGTGTTGGATATGGGGTTGGTTTTGGGGTTGGGCCATCCAGGAGCACCCAGAGCTCTGGGATGACCCCTGAGCCCCAAAGGGAACCTGGCTGGAGCTCTGTAACACAGCCCTCATCCTGTGGCCGTGAAGAAGCCCGTCCTTGGCCAACGCTCAGCTTTGCAGAAGGGAGCACAAGGAACCCATTGAGCTGCACCAGCTCCTGTTGTAGCCCATAGGGGCTGGTTCCAGAGCTGTAGGGTCTGCTTGAAAGTACGGGGCTCATTTCCTGGGTGAAGTTAGATTGAGTTCCATTTTCTTACAGGAAAAATAAAGGAGAAATCTACAGGTAACGCTCCCATGGACGGTGTGGGATTGGGAGGAGTGTGGGGAGGCAGCCGAGCTGGAAAATGCCAAGTGAAGCATACAAAGGGCAGGAAGTCTGTGTGCATCGGTGTGCAGGGCACCACGGAGCTGCTCTGGGCTCTTTGCCCAATGGGTTGGGTGAGAAAAGGAAGGGCAGTGCCTGCTCTGCCCCCGGGGCAGGGGGGAGACAGTGGAAAATCCCATGTGGCTGCGTGGAGAGGAGGGGAAATGTGGGGAAATAGTGGCTAATAATGGTTAATAATGGGGGAAAATGGGAAGTGATGGGGAAACGGTGGGAAGTAATGGGGGAAAATGGGGAAATAGTGGGAAATGATGGGAAATGAGGGAGAAATAATGAGAAATAGTGGGTAATAATGGGAAATAATGGGGAAATGTGGGAAAATAATGAGAAATTGTGGGTAATCGTGGGGGGAAATGGGAAATAATGGGGAAACTGTGGGAAGGGATGGGTAAAAATGGGGAAATAGTGGGAAATGATGGAGAGATAATGAGAAATAGTGGGTAATAATGGGAAATAATGGGGAAATTGTGGGAAGTGATGGGTAATAATGGGAAATAATGGGGAAATTATGGGAAGTAATGGGTAAAAATGGGGAAATAGTGGGAAATGATGGAGAGATAACGAGAAATAGTGGGTAATAATGGGAAATAATGGGGAACTTGTGGGAAGTGATGGGTAATAATGGGAAATAATGGGGAAATTATGGGAAGTAATGGGTAAAAATGGGGAAATAGTGGTAAATGATGGAGAGATAACGAGAAATACTGGGTAATAATGGGAAATAATGGGGAAATTGTGGGAAGTGATGGGTAAAAATGGGGAAATAGTGGGAAATAATGGGAAATAAGGGAGAAATAATGAGAAATAGTGGGTAATAATGGGAAATAATGGGGAAATTATGGGAAGTAATGGGTAAAAATGGGGAAATAGAGGGAAATGATTGAGAGATAACGAGAGATACTGGGTAATAATGGGAAATAATGGGGAAATTGTGGGAAGTGATGGGTAAAAATGGGGAAATAGTGGGAAATAATGGGAAATAAGGGAGAAATAATGAGAAATAGTGCGTAATCATGGGAAATAATGGGGAAAATAGGAAAATAATGGGAAATTGTGGGTAATCGTGGGGGAAATGGAAAATAATGGGGAAATTATGGGAAGTAATGGAGGGAAATGGGGAAATAGTGGGAAATAATGGGGAAATTATGGGAAGTGATGGGTAAAAATGGGGAAATAGTGGGAAATGATGGAGAGATAACGAGAGATACTGGGTAATAATGGGAACTAGTGGGTAGTAATAAGAAGTAATGGGGAAATGTAGGAAAATAATGGGAAATAGTGGGATGGGCAAATATGGGGGAATAATGGAAACTAATTGAGAAATAATGAGAAATATGGGGCAATAATGGGAAATAATTGAGAAATAATGGGAAATAGTGGGAAATAATGCAGAAAGAATGGGAAAGAATGGTGGGAAATAATAAAGAAAAAATGGAAAATAATGGAGCAATAATGGAAAACAATAGTGAAATAATGGGAATAATGGAAAAACAATGGGGAAATAAGGGAGAAATAATGGGGAATAATGGGGAATAATAGGGAAATAATGGGAATAGTGGGAAATAATGGGGAATAGGGTGAAATAAAAGAGAAATAATGGGAAATAGTAGGTAATAATGGGAAATTATGGGAAATAATGGAAATATAATGGGGAAAAGATGGGAAAGGATGGAGAAAAACAGGAAGAAGTGGGAAATAATGGAAAAATGATGAGAAATGACTGGAAATTATGGGAAATAGTGGAGAACTTGTGGGAAATAATGGGAAATAATAATGGGCAGCGCTGTGAGCCCGTGGGAAAGGGAAGTGCCGGGGGAGGCGGAGGGGGAGCCCGGAGCGGGCGGAGCCGGAGCTGCAGCCGGAGCGCAAGGCTCCCAGCCCGGCCCCGGCATCCAGCACCGCCCCGGGGAGGATCCGAGCCGCTGCCGCTGACGGGAGGTGCGTGGCGTCCAGGGGGCTGCGTGGGGCCGGGAGGGGAGCGGGGTCTTGTGGGACCCTGGTAGGGCTGGGGCGGCGTTGTGGCTCCGGGATGGGATGAGATTGGGACAAGGGTTGGGATGGGAGCGGGTGTTGTCCCCCGGTGGCAGCGTGGGGAAAGCATAAAGAGCAGGAGAAAGTAATGTGTGGGGTACGGGTGGGACTTGGGGGGCGTTGGGGTGTGGGGTGGTATGAGGATATGGGGGGATATGGGGACATTGGGTTATGTGGACATGTGGGGATGCAGCCTGCAGGAGTGCAGCGCCGGGCAGAAGGTGATGTGTGGGGCAGGGATGTGGGGCAGGCATGGATGTAGGGGGGCTATGTGTGGATATGGGACAGAGCCGGGGGTATGGGGTCGTGTGGAGGTACGTGGGGTTATGGGATCACAGCCTGCAGGAGCGCAGTGCTGAGCAGGAGATGGTAATGTGGGGCAGAGATGTGGGGTGGAGATAGGGGGCAGAGGGTCTTGGGAATATGGGGGGCACAGAGACATGGGGACATTGGGAAATGGGGTGATTTGGCATTGTGGCCAGCAGGAATACAGTGCCACACAGGGGGATGTGGAGAGGTGGGGTATGAGAGATGAGGGGCACAGTGACATGGGGATGTATGGAGATATGGGGTGGAGATGTGGGGCGGAGATGGGGCTTGGGGTACATTGTCACCCTGCGGCACTGGAGGTGGCTGTCCTGAATGCAGGAAGGGGTGGGAAATGGCAAACCTTACACTGAACCCAATGGTGCTTTGGGGTCAGAGCACAACACGGCTGCTGGAGCTGCAGTGTTTGGAGAGCAAACAGAGCTTGAGGTGGCTCTGTAGGGTGGGACGGAGCTGGGTGCTGTGTGCTCGTGGAGTTTCTGTGGTTGCTGCAGTTCTTCCACAGCTGCAGTTCTTCCAAAAGACCGATCAGTGAGCAGCTTGGGCAAAGCAGATCTGTGGGTTGGGTCCCCAATCCCAAATGCACGTCTTCATCCCGATGAGTTTCATGGCCGGTTGGTGTCCGGATGGTGTCCATATGGTGTCTGGATGATGTCCAGATGGTGTCCAGGTGGTGTCCAAGTGGTGTCTGGATGGTGCTGTGAGTTCCAGAAGAGGGTTTGCTGCTGGAGATGGGCTGGATCTCTCAGCTGGCAGAGCGGAGCCCACGTGACGCCTTTAATTCCTGTAACCGCGGCACGAAAAGTCAGAATCAGGAAATCTGAAAGAAAAAAAAAAAGAAAAAACACCCTGCGAACCAAAGGTACTGAATACAATGCTGTGCAAAGCAGGAAAAGAGCAGGTCAGGGTGCTGGGAGTTCCCCAGGCTGGTTTGTTTGGCTCAGGCTTTTCTGCAGCGGCTGCGATTGCCGTTGGTTCTGAATCAGCCCGGAACCAAAACATGACGGAAGGGCAAAGCTTGGGGCAATTCTCCACGGAAGGGAAGCTTGCAGCCTGGCTCACTGTGGCCAGTGTTTTTATTTCCTTTAAATCAAAATCGAAGGGGACTCTGAGATTGCAGAGGGATTGGGAGCAGAAAGCAGAGCGCACCCGGTTTTGCAGGAAGAGGCGCCGCTTTGCTGTGGGCACCTCCTGGGGAAATGCCGTGGGGAGGGGTGGGTGAGCCGAATACCTGCATAGGAAATAACTCCGAAAGTGCCTCTCTGGAATGCGGGGAGCAATTAGTGCCAATCAGTGCCAATCGCTGCTGGCAGGAAGCAAAACCCCACGGCCTGTCCCTCTGTCTTGCTGCCGTTTGCCCAGCGAGTGGCGATGGAGGTGGCTGGAGGTTGGCCAAAGCCAACAGGAGTTGGACAAACTGGCAGCAGGGAGAAGCTGTGGGTGTTTCCCACTTTTCTGGGTTAGGGGGTGGCTGAATATCACCACGTGCAGGACTTTGTGGAGGAGAGGGTTGTGGGGATGGGCTGAGCTCGCAAATTAGAAGGAGAAATCGTTAATGAGAAGGTTGCCCGGGTGCAGATATGGACATGAAGGCAAATGCCTTGGAGCTGACATCAGCCTGCCTGCTCCCGGGGCTGGGGAGGTGCAGGGAGGAGTTGTCCACAGTGTGGGGAGCCTCAGAGTTCAGGGCTTGGGCAAAATACCAGAGAGCTGTGGATGCCCCATCCCTGAAAGTGCCCAAGACCAGGCTGGATAGGATTTGGGCAGCCTGATCTGATGGGGGCAGCCAGCCCACAGCAAAGGTAGGGGCTGCATGGGCTTTGGGGTTCCTTCCAACCCAGGTTTTCTCTGTTTCTACAGTCTTCCAACCCAACCATTCTATGGGTCTTTGATCTTTAAGATCCCTTCCAACCCAACCATTCTATGATTCTATGTTTCTTCGATACTGAAAGTTGTCGGAGGCAGATGCTGAGCCACCATCAGCCCCAGGACCACGCTGGTCATCAGCTGTGTGTGTCATCCCCTGCTGAGCTCATTTGCCTGCAAGGTGAAAATGGTCCCATGTGTCATGACCTGAGCATGCTGCCAGTGGCCGGCCCCAATGGGATGAGCATCCATCTCTGACCTCATCCAGGGAGTGGAAAACCCTGGATTTCACCCTGAGCAGGGCTTGGAGCTGCAACCTGATGGCAGTGGCAGGAAGGGGATGCAGTGGATTGGTTATGGGGAGCAGCGAGGACTGCCGTGGTTTCTAGTAAAAGGAGCTGAGTGCACACAGAGCCGTTCTGGTTTAATGATTCGGAGTTCCTGATGTAAATCATTGACAGCAGTGAGCACAAGACCGCAGGTGTGCGTGGGATGGGGACAAAGGTGGCTGGGGCTGCTGGTGTGGGGCTGGCTATGGGGCGGGGGCTGGCTGTGGGGAAGTCTGGAGCTGTGGACACGGACACAGAGCATGTCCCCATGTCCCCATGTCACCACTGAGGTGGGAGCAGAGCGGTGAGGGCGGTGAGTACAGACTGGTTGCAGGTGGTGGCTCACGACGGCAGTGAACAAAGTGGGGAAAACGTTTGCAGAACAATCTTGGAGGGTTTCTGGATTGCAGCACGGGACTGAGAATTCCCTGCCGACGGCTGCCAGAGCAGGGAGGACACGTGGCAGCTGTTGTGCTCTGCTTCATCTTGCTCTAGATGACTGGATGGATGGGTGGATGGGTGGATGGATGGATGGATGGATGGATGGATGGATGGATGGATGGATGGATGGATGTCCATGGCCACTGCCAAACTGGAGGTGCATTTCTGGCCATAGTAAGGCTTTGGTTTGGTGCTTTCCTGGAGGTGCTGCAGCTTTCCCCATGCTGCCATGTTCCCTTTTCACTGAGGCTGCACTGCTTTTTCCAGACCTCCTTCTCCGACCATTGACGTCACAGCAGTGGGGCTATGGCTACGGCAGCGAGCTCTGATAAGCCTAAAGTAGAGATAATTAGATGGTGAGAGAGACACGGACGTCGCCGCGTGGGTTAATGCGATTTGCCCTCCCTGCAGGGCAGGGATCTGGGCCAAACTTTTCAACGCTGCAGTGACGGAGCAGCTTAGAGAGGTGCCAGAGGGAGGCTGGAGACGGTGGGAAGGTGCTTTGCTTTTGGAAACCTTCCATTCCTCCAGCAAAATGAGTGCTCTGTTCCTTTCCCGTCGTGCCCCTCCCCACAGATCTGTGGCTGAGGGCATGCGGTGCTGTGATTTCTCCTCCCCCAAAGCCCTGGCAGCGCTTTGCAGGTGGGAGCTCAGTGCCTGCATGATGCTCTGCTGGATGGATAGCTTGGGGATAGGAGTCTGTTGGTAGGGGAGTGAGTGGCACACAGGGGCCATCGCTTGGTCTCGATGGCACTGGTGTGGCTTGGAATGGTGCCGGATGCAGCAGGAGATGAGGAAGGAGCGGGACGTGTGATGCAATTCCCCATTGCAATAAGCTCCACACCCACAAAGGTTGTCGAGTTTACAGCCACCTGCAGCATGGATGCTGTCCCCAGCACAAGGCATGGCATGGAGCTGCCAATACAGCACAGTGGGCTCTAGCTGGGGATTGGGGGCTGTCAGGCAACCTTCTGACAGTGAGTGCTGGTGCCAGGGAGCAGCTGCGGATGATGAAGGATCCAGCAGCAACACCTGGCGTGTCCTCACTGGGCTGCTTTCTAGGGCAGGAACTTCAGGAGAGGTGAGGAGCAGGGCTGGGGCTGTGCTGAATGCAGAGAGAGTCCTTTGGGAGCATCCAAAGGGGAATTTAAGAGCGAAGGGCTGAGATGGGGAAGTTTGCTCTGTGTCCCCGTTGAACTTGATGGCCTTTAACGGTCCCCATTTCCTTCCCTGGATTTTCCTACAAGTTGCTCTGTTTTCTGGGAATGCTGCTCATTTCTAGCCATGACCCAGCGACCCAGCACGCTCTAGAGCTAAACAAGCAAACACGAACCAGGGACCAACGGCATAGATTGCCACGACGTGGAGCAAAGGCGTATATGGGAAAAGCATGCAGCAGCATCCTGTCCAAGGGCTCCTTGCACAAACAAGCACTGCAAAGCCAAGAAAGGAAAGCAAAGTGGCGGTGTTTGCACAGCTGCTTGCTGGCTTTGGCACCCATGGGATGCTGCTGTCAGACCGTGACATGGAAATCTGGGGTCCTTGCTGCATTACCTACATGCAGCCTGCAGCGTGAGGTTGCGCTCCTTGCTGCCATCCCTGCGTGCTGAGGTTGAGGCGAGCTGCCAGGAGATGCAGTTGCATGTGTTTATTTTTGGAAATACACATCCCATGTGTGTGGCTGGGGAAATGCAGGCATCCCATCCAGGATGGATAGGCACCATTGGCTTGGCTGGCTCTGAACCGGAGCGCTCAAAGCGAAGTGCTTGGGTCAGGGGGCACCCACTGGAGCAGTGTTGTCTCTCTGCAGGTCTGCCCATCTGCTCTGCTCGAGCACCGCACGCATGGTAGCCGCCCGGGGCCACCAGGGATGCAGTGAGGTGGCCAACACACAATGGCCCCATCTCGCACCAACGGGTCACACTACGCACTGACAGCCATCGGGATGGGGATGCTCATCCTGGGCATCATCTTGGCTGTGTGGAACATTGTGCCTGGCTTCGGACACCCCGATAAACCCAATGCTGGGAATAGCAGCAAGCCAGACCGCGGTGGTGGGGGCATTTTTAAGAGCAAGACGTTTTCTGTGGCCTACGTGCTGGTTGGGGCAGGTCTGCTGCTGCTGCTGCTGTCTCTCTGCTTGAATGTCCGTGACAAGAAGAGGCAGAGCGAGGATATCCCCAGGGTGGTGCAGCACCAAGCATCCGTGGAGCCTTCGCAGCAGGAGGAGGACAGGTGAGTCCTGGGGGGGCAGCAGGAGCTCAAGCTCAGGGAGAAGCAAACTTCTGTGTTGATGGTGGTGTGGGTGAAAGGAAGCACTGTGGATATATATAAGATGTGCTCTGGAAGCCAAGTGGGCATAGCTGAGCCGTTGGATGCCTGTGTGGTCAGTACACACTCATGGGGTGGCACAAGGAGATGCTGTTAATTGTTAACCCCAGGAGATGGGTGGCTGCTGCAGAGCAGGCGAGGGGCTATGGAGTCATTAAGGCTGGAAAGACCAGTAAGACTATCCAAATGTCAGCCCCTCCCCACCATGCCCACTCGTAGAATCATTAGTGTTGAAAAGACCACTAAGATCATCCAGTCCAACCACAGGACCCCGTCACTTAAAAGCAACTTGCTAAAGCAGGTTAAAGTGCAGAGTGTAGGTGTGCAGGTACCAGTGTGCAGGCGGATGCACATTCATGGGATGGAACCCAAGCTGGTATGCATCCAGGTTGGATATTAGGAAAAACTGCTTCTCAGAAGGAGCAGTGAGCAGTGATGAAGGAGGTGGTGGGGTCACCCTCCCTGGAGGCTTTCAATGTGGCGCTGTGGCACTGAGGGAAGTGGTCAGTGAGCACGGTGGGGGTGGGTTGGGGTTGGACCTGGTGATCTGAGAGATCTTTTCCAACCTTTGTGGTTCTATGAAGGCAGTAGAAAGATGCCCGAACATTGGTGGCGTTGCAGTCTATTCAAACTGCTGTATAACATAGAAGGGCCAATGTTCTGTCCTTTATTTCTGGCTGTGTTTTCATCACCTCTCTCTATCCCATGCCCCACTGCAGTCGAAGTGATGTGGGGCTGACGTTCTCTCTTTATCTCCTGCAGCCAAGAAGAGGATGAAGACGTGTCCTCTCGCTACTACGTCCCCAGCTACGAGGAGGTGATGAATACAGGCTACTCAGAGCCCCACGACCCGGAGCGGAACCGCAGGATCAGTGTCTCACTGCCCTCCTATGAATCACTGACAGGGCTTGACGAGGGCACGCAGCCCCCAGGAGCAGCCAGCGCAGAGCCTGGCACCGAACGGCCACCAGGCCGGCACAACTCACGTCTCAGCAAGCGCCTGAAGCCCCTCAAGGTGCGGAGGATCAAGTCGGAGAAGCTGCATCTCAAGGACATCAGGCTCAACCTCGGTGATGGGAGCAGCACCGGCCCCATCACAATTGAGCCGTTGACCCCACCTCCAAAGTATGAGGATATCCAGGAAAAAGCACCTGGAAGCCAACAGTTGACTTAGGAAGGACGGGTCGGTCATTGCGCGGATTGGAAACGCTCGGAGAGGGCTGGTCATGGAGTGCGGGAGTGTTGGATGCTCTCTGGATGCTGAGGTGCTGATGTGGAGGGAACTGCAGCATTGCTCAAATAGGAGTGGGTCTTCCCAGGACGGCGTTGTGTCAAACACCACGGGGAAACGATGATGTTGTGAAGGATGTGAAGGCTGGAAGAGTCAGACGTGTGTTCTGTGTTGTTTTAAGTTAAGGACCACCTAATGTGTCTTCTCTCCTTTGTGCCTTGCCCCAGCAATGGATTTCCAAGCCACCAAACTGCTATTTAATAAGAATTTTCCAAGAGGAAAAAGGGAAATGTTCTGTCTTTCTTTTTTTATGTCTTTTCTTTTTGAGCAAGGCAAGTAAAAGTGTCAGGTTAGTGATGTAGCTGTCACCACTCCAGACATCAGTGGGGTTGGGGATCGTGGCACAGGGCTGGCCAAAGTGCCTGTGGTGTTGCATGCTTGCTGGTGCGAAGAGGAATGAAACAAGCCTTTAAGCTTGTCTGACCTGTAGGCTTTACCCATAGGAGGTTTCTTACTGGCATCACTGTCCATTCTCCTGTAGGAGAGGACTGTATTTCTTGCCTCAGTGGTTTTCTCTTTTGTGTGTTGTGCTGCAAATCGAAGGGACAGTCCGTCTGGGGCTGGAAACTGCCATAGTGTACAACTGCCAAGAGTTGTTCAGGGTGTTCTGGGTGAAATGACAAGACCATACAGAGCAAGCAGTCCTTTTCTAAATAAATATTTTGTACGTGGGGTGCGTGTATGTGTGTGCATCTGTGCGTGCAGGTGGCCGTTCCCATGGATCGAAGGCCGGAGCTGTATGAAATCAGCCAACTGGTTAAGGGTGGGTGCTGCTCCTTGGGCATCCCAAACATGTGCTACCTCCTGGGCAACAGCATCTACAAAGTCACGCTGTCCCCCAGCCAAATGTCCATGCTGTTATTGTTTGTAGGATGCTGATCTTGGTGTCGGTTTGGGGATGGTTGGCTCGGTGGTTGGGGATGTAAAAGGTATGAGATGAATGCAAATGGCCAAAAAAAAAAAGGTGTGAATGAGATGTTGGTCCAAATCCATATGGTGGTACCTGTGATGATTTATTGCTTCGTATTCTATCCCATCGTTCCCATTATTGCAATGGGAACTGTGCCCCAAGGGAGGACAGGCAGGCAAATCATATAATAAGGGACTTCCTTAAACAAATTAATGGCACAACTGCGAAAAAAAAGAGCACTTTAAACATGAGGGAAATTCGGGGGAGGCGAAACGGAGATCCTTGTTTATCACTGCTGATGATGAAGGGATGAAGAGGTTCTGATGCTCCTTGGCAGCTTTTCCTCATGGCGTAGGGAGTGTGAGGGTTGCATGGTGATGTACTGACAACTGAAAGAGCCCTTATTTCTGAAGGCAATGGGAAAGGAGAGGGAGAGGTGGCAGCCATCTTCAGTGTCACGTCCCTTCTCATTGGACAAGATGGCTGGTAAAGGTCATCTTAGAAACACAGGAAAAACCTTTGTGTGCAATATATGTGCAGTTGAGTCACTGTTTGGTGGGGGGGAAGTGCCGTTGAGTCGAGTTTCTTGGGATTCAGCACTCCGTGTTGCAACACCCATAAACCGGAGTGCAACACCCACCAGCTCCTCGTTAATCTCGTTAGTGTTGGCCTGGGTGTGGAACGTGTGCCCGGGGAGTTTTGTGGTGCTTTCCACAGCCTGCCAGCCTGTCAGGTGCTGGAGGAGATGAAATTGCCGTTCCGAGATCCAAATCTCACATAATGTGAGGTATTGATGCCCTCCTCTTGAAACGTGGAGGGAGGTCTGTGTGCGAAGGAGGACGGTGGTGTGAGGAGGGAGGCCTGGCCTTCACCCCTAATGGCGGCCATCATGGCGGCTTGGTTGCCATGGTGACAGGGATGGGGGGAGTGAAGGGGGGAAGCCCTACAAAATGGTACCCAGGACCCTGGGGATGCATCAGGCCATCATGTCGGCATTCAAACCTACTCACAGCACCCCAGGCTTCGATCTCCATTTAATTAAACCCCATTAATCCCCTCTCCACAGCGGAGGAAGCCCCACAAGCTAAAGGGCCCTCGTGGGCCACATGGTGTAACCCATTGCAGGAGATGAAAAACAAGAGAAAAAGCAAAAGATATATGCATATATATACTGTGACATGCTCAAACCAGGTAGGCTGCATGACAAACTGTGTTTCAATACGGGGAGAAGTGATGTCCTTGGAGAAACAAGGAGCTGCAATGACACAGAGCTGTGTTGTGCCCGTTGCTTGGATAAAGGGCAAAAAAAAACCAACAAAAAAACTGAGCAAAACAAACAAGAAGGAAAGCGGCCGGGTTTTGGTGTCACAGAGGTTTCCCTGGCTACCGTGGGTGCAGGGAGGAGCAAAGGGAGGCTCTGTCAATAGCGTTATGGCTTTTATTGCAGGAAGAGTGGTGCGAGGGGTGCTGGAGTTGTTTGCAGTTATGGGGGGTTGCTAACTAAGTAGGATTTATTTTGCTTTAGTCTTCGAGGCCATGAGAGCATTCCTGAGGAGCTCGGAGGAGTGTTTTCAACTCAAACAGCAAAGAACCACGATAGGGAAACACGAAGGGTCAGACATCATCCTGAAGGTAGGGGTGAGCATGCCGTGAGGGTGGATGACAGATGGGAAAGGTGTCAGAAATTAGAGGGAGAGAAGGGGCATGGCAATGCTGGCATTAGCGAGGGTGTAATCCCAGCACAGGGGCTAACTGCCCATTTTCGTGCTTCGGATGTAAGGAGGGTGACACATTGCAAGCCTAAGTGCCCCATCTGTGCAGACACCCGAGGTCAGGCTGGAGGGGCTCTGAGAGCTGATGGAGCAGTGGGTGTCCCTGCTCAGCGCAAGGGATTTGGACCTGATGATCTTTAGGTCCCTTCCAGCATGAAGGGTTCTACGATTCTGTGATATAAGGTTGGCAAAGACTTCCAAGATCACCCAGAGGGCTGGGCAAATCCGCACCGTAACACAGCCTCAATTGCTCTCCAAGGTTTTTCCCACTGTTTGCTGCTGTCAGTCTGCAGGGGCAGGGGAGCACCACGCAGCCCTCGAGTTCACCGGGTGGGAGAGTGGATTCGTCCTGCAGGACCTCAATTCCCCACAGGGCACCTTTGTGAATGGCTGCCAGGTGCAGAACGCGGCCGTGCACGTGAGACCAGGAGACATCCTGCGCTTCGGAGCTCAGGGAGCATCCTTTGAGCTGGTGGTGGATGGAGTCCCCCAGGTAAAGGCAGGCTCCGAAATGGGCGTGTGGTTTTACGTGATGACAAGGGGGTGTCATGCTCTCGGGCTTTTATTCTTAAATCATCAAGAAATAAAAAGCTGGAGCTCCCTCTGCTGAAGAAATTCAGGCAGCTCGGTGGGGTGAAGGAAGCATGGAGCAGATTTCTGATGGCAAGCCCATCAGAACTTGTGGAGATTGGTCTTGGGAAGGTGTGAAAGCATTGGGAAATGGGCTTTAGGTCTCTTTCAACTGAATTTTCCGTTGAGTCTTTCCTTAGATGCTAGCGTTAAAGGTCCAAATGAGAGCAAATTAATAAGCAAATACACTGTTGGTGCTTTTCTTGGTAGTGCTGTGCACAACTGCAGGCTCTGTTCTGCACAGCAAGGCCAGAGCATCACAGCTTGACCTGTGGAAACAACAGAAATCCAAAGCAATTGTAAATACGGGGTCAAATCTAGTGGAAGTCTTCTATTCCTGGGAATAGGGCCATCTCAGGATGTCAGTAGTGCATGTGGGCTATAAGTACTTAAAATCAATACAATCACATTTATTTTTATTGTCCTGGCTCTTGAGGAATCCTAAGAAAACAGAGATTGAGAACGGTGCTGGAAACCTGCATGCCTGACAGCCCAGCCCGGGATCAAGGTGAATGAATGGCAGCCTGTGTACTCAGATGCTGCTTTTGGATGAATCAACAAGGTTCTTTGTGTTGGAAGATGACCCCACGAACGTGCCCAGAATGCTCAGCCCGAGAGGAGAAAATGCATTTTTGCAGGATGAATCCATTCACCTGGCGGGCGAAGGCTGTGCAGGTGAAGTTTGTTCCATCTGGAACACCCAGCACTTTGATTTCCAAAAGCAGACATGCAGCCTGCACACAAAAATGCAGTTGTGCACAGTGGCACAGAAAAAGCATTGTCAGTGCCTCTTTATTGCTTTGGGCTTGACGATCCTCCTTTGATAGAACAGCTTTGAAGCCTGACACCACTGACTGCAGAGAGTAAATCACTTCTCCACTTCGCTGTGTGAAGTGTTTACAGTGTTTAATGTAGGGAGGCCTCTCTCTCATTTTCAGTGGTATTAAGGATGAACACGCTCTGAAGAAGAGGAGCACCCAGCCACAAGAGCTAAGTCCTCCATTATGAAAAATAAATCCCAAGCTCTGAATGTATAACAGCATGCAAAGCAGGCTGGCTCTCTCTATCTTTCCCGCTGAGCTGCTCATGTTGCAGAAAAAGGGCTTAAAAAACTCTTACCCCTTACTAACAACACAGTCCTGTTCCCCAGCAGAAACCTTCCTACCCACTGGCACAGTGTTGCACGTCATGGGCTGGACAGGAGGCTGCAGAGCCCCAGCATGGTGCCCACCTCCCCTCGCTGCAATCCCAGCGTGGCTCCAGCACCTGGGTTGGCCCCACACCCCATCCACCACTCCGCAAGCGACCCGTAAGTGCGTGGACCAGGAGTGCAACCATAACCATCCCAATGGATGTGCTCAACCAGCTGCCTGCAGAGAGGCCAGGTACTTCCATATGGCTGCAGGAAAGATTTTGCTGTGACAGTCAAGGGACTGTTGGTTCCCAGCATCAAACAGGGCTAATCTGAGCAGAGGCGGTTTTGATGCACGCTAGTAAATGATGAGCATCACAGCCAGTTAGTTGTGATTCCTTACCAAGCAAAGCTAATTGGACCCTGCGTGCTAGCAGTGGCATTTGGGTTGGTTGAGAAAGGTGCTGTGAAAAAACACTGGGGAATGCCATTGCCTGGGTAAGTTAGGGTGACATTTCCTCTTCCTTGTTCCTCGTGCGCGATGTGGAGCAGCGATGGCTTTATCTCCGTCGCTGACTCATGCACCTATTCTGGTCTCCTGACTGAAGCAGTGGGTTGGTTCCTTGGCTGTGCAGTCACAGGCTGCCTTGAGTAAAGGAACGTGAAAGAGATCCGTATCTGATGTGTTTCTTAAAGGCGGAGCGTGCAGTGGTGGAGCAAAGGTGAAGGCTCGTGGGATGAACTGGTGGAACAGTAGGATGGGAAGAGGCTTCTTCTGGTTGTAGCAAATTGCACCGTGGTTTGTGTGGTTCCATTGAATATCCCAAGTTGGAAAGGTCACAGAGCCCAACTCCTGATAGAATCGTAGGATCACAGAATCATTCAGGTTGGAAAAGAACCTCTCAGACCATCCAGTCCGATCACTTGCCAACCACCAGAGCTGCCCACCAGCCACGTTCCTCAGTGCCACATCTCCACACTGAACACCTACAGGGTCGGTGACCCCTCCACCTCCCTGGACAGCTGTGCCAATGCCCAACCACTCTTTCAGAGAAGTTTTCCTAATATCCAATGGAATCACCCCAAGGTCAAGCTATACTTCAATAGTTTATGGGGGTTTTGCCGTTATTATCTGCCATTAGCAAGACAAAGTCATTAACAAACAACCAAAATAATACTCCAGAGCAAAAAACGTTGCTATGCAGACCATAAAGCCATGTGCACAACATGGAATTCCACAGACAGTAATGGGAGTGAAGCTCCCAGCAGTGTAGGCCTTTGGCATCCAGCTGAAAATAGGATCCTGGGCAGAGTAGAGAGACCTTACAGGAGTTCTATAGAGAATGTGTTACAGCACACCCACCCAGGTTTGATCACATCATTTGGTTTGTGAAATAGAGCCAAGAGAATCAGTGTGCGTTAATCTTTTAACTCTTCCTGTGCTGTAAGCAGTGAATGTAGAGTGTCTTTCTTTGGGGTTGGCCAAAAAACCCAACTGCTTTTGAAACTGGTGTTGAAATACCAAAGGAGCCTTCACCCACTGTGTCTGTATGTGTCTTTGGGTTTGTTTTGAAGCTCCCCAGAAGTGCATGACTCCTTTCTCTTGTGTAGGCTCTATTGGTAAGGGTCTTTTTAGTGCCAGATGAGTGGGTTTTGCTCAGAGTACGAACTAAGAATTGACTACTGCCCTAGAAGAGTTTTTAGACAAGGGAGGGAGATGCAATGAGCCCCCATCCTGCAGGTTTTCTGCTATTTTCTCTGCTTTCATTCAGCCTGGACCACCAACTCAAGCAGCAGTGGGATGGGAGACCCTTCCCTGGGGATTCACAGCACGGATTGCTCCCTGCAAGAAAAGGTGATGCTGGGGAGAGGGCAAGGGGTTTGCCCCATGGTTCTGCTGGGGGTGTGCAAAGTCATGGAATCGTAGATCTGCTGACCAACAGACGGAATCCACCTGCAGGATGAAAAGCTGCTGAGCCTGGAAAAGGAGATCGGCCGTCTGTCTGCTTTTGAAGCAGAATCAAAGCAGAAGGATACGGTGATAAGGGACCTTCAGGGGGAACTGGCATCGATGGCCAAGAGCATGGCTGCTGTGAGAAATGACGTGGAGCTGACCCAGAGGCTTCTAACCTTTGAGGGAGAAATCAGGGCCAAAACAGAAGAGATCAAAGCCTTAAAGGAGCAGGTATGCCATGGCCAAATGGGCACAGGTGTCCTATGGGAGGAGTTATTGTAACTCGGAGGGGTTTCTCCTTTAATGCCATCAGGGCAACCATGCTGTTCTGCGAGAACTGAGACTGGGAGGGGGTTCATGGCAAGCTGAAGCCTTTCAGATAACAGGGAGCTCTTTGTGGGGCTTAGGAAGAACTGCCTTTGAGCTTAAAGCAAAAGAAGGGTCACTGGAGCTAAAAGTTTGCTGGTGAAGCGTGTGCATTGTCCTCTGTTTTAGATCAGCAACCTGCAGAAGGGCTCGAGTGAAGTTTATAGCCATTCCCTTCAGGAAAGAGACCTGGAGATGAGAAGCCTGAGAAGAGAAAGTGAGAAGCTAAAGAGGGATCACGCTTTGACCACAGGTATTTTCTCCCTCGGTAGAACTCCTTGCAGGGGCTGTGAGCACCTGAGGGCTGGCTCTGGAAGGTGACCCCACATTTGCAAGGCTGTTCTGATAAAAGATACTTTGCAGTGGCTCCTAAAAATTGCCCTGACATAGAGAGGTAATGGAAACTGATCCATCAGAGCTGCTCATCCTCCAGGGAGCATATGCTGCAGGGCTCAGGGGGACTCGCTAATGATGCTGCTGTGGGATGATGTCCAGCACGGCGTGCCAGGAGCCAGATCTGCACTCCAAGTTGTGCAGTTGTCAGAGATGGAGGCCTGCCACTCGGTGCCCAGAGGGCTTCTGCAGGGAAATGCTTGGTTTTCATCTCCCTACATTGTTGTTATCAGGCCTCGTGACCAGCCTGCAAAGGGAGATTGCTGTGAAAGAACAGAAAATTCAGCAGCTCAAGCAGGAGGTGGAAAAAACAAAAAAGGCAAACAGAGAAAAGGACAACCAGCTGGCAGCTGTGTCTGCCAAGGTTAGTGTCCCCAGTGCTGGTCTCATAGGTGAGTTGGCATGGAAAAGGAAGATCAGAAGGGTCGTTTTCTCTCTGTTGAGGATTCGTTGGATATTAGGAAAAATTTCTTTACTGAAAGTGATGCAGTGGCACAGGCTGCCCATGGAGGAGATGTTGGGGTGCTCAGGAAAAGTTTAGATGCTGTACTAAGGGACGTGGCCAGTTGGTATGGTGGGATGGGCTGGGGTTGGACTGGATGATCTCAGAGGTCTTTTCCAGCCTTAACGATTCTATGGTTCCATGGCCAGCAGCTCTTTGAGCACTGCGCAGTAAGTGCAGGGCTGTGTCTCTACCTTTGCACACTGCAAAATGCCCACAGCAAGGTGTCGGGTTCCCCAGATGAATTCCCCTCCTTGTTGTTCGTGCAGGTACTCAGTGACCTGAATTTCGGGAACACTGTGGCTGTTTGTGTGCTCTGGGCACCGGTGCCAAGATCCTGCTGAGGAGCCATGGAAACCCGCTCTTAGCGATGCTCCCTGCAGCCAAGCCTGGTTTTTTCCCTTACAGAAAGCTGCCTGGACAGCATTTTTCCTCTCCCAGCCAAACTATGATTAGATATGGGCCTGTTAACGTGTCGTTGCTGTCGTGCTCTTGATGCCATGATTGCCCTACCATGGGCACTCCCACTCATCAACTGGCCATCAGGCAGCTGAGCACTTCACTGTGCTGTAGGACTGAAGGATGTGTTGACATCTCCAGCAGAAATGACAGTACCTGACCAGCCTGCTAATTTTTTCCCTCGGTTGCTGTTTGTTCCAGTGCTCTAGAATTAAAGAGGAAACGAAGCGTGAACTTGGAGAGAGGGAAATGGCTGCCTACCAAAAAGTGAGTTTCTAGTTGGGATGATATGACATTGTAAGAGAAGTGTTGTGAATCCTACTCCTGTAAAGAAAAGGATTGAACTTTCATAGCAAAGTAGAGTAAATGTCAGCTCCTGGCAAAAATGGAATATTACATTGCAGTGCAGGATGTGGTGAGGCCGTGGCACAGGTTGCCTAAAGATGTTGTGGATGTTCCATGCCTGGAGGTGCTCAAAGCCAGGTTGGATGGGATCTTGGGCAACCTGAGCTGATGGGGAGGCAGCCACCTCATGGCGAAGGGTTGGAACTGGATGATATTTGAGGTCCCTTCCAACCCAACCATCCTATGGTTCTGTGATCTTTGAGATCCCTTCCAAACCAAGACATCCTATGATGACATTGTCATAAGATACAACCTATCAATCTATCAGCTGTAAAAATAGGTTGGAATAAAATAGCGGAGTAAATGAAATGAGAGAGATGGGTAGAATGTCTTGCTTGTCCTTCATATTCTCGAGTGAGCTCCTCTAGAGAAACTTTCTGCTGTCCTGGACTCTTGCAGCGCATCGGAGAGCTGGAATGTGAGCTGAAGGGATTGCAGGAAGAGGTTCAGAAGTACCACAGCGAGCAGAAAGCCATCCAAACACAGCTGGCAGAAAAAGTCAAGGTGAACCCCAGCACCCAAAGTAGCAGCTCATCCACCTGATGGTGGGGAATGGTGGCTAGCTGGGCTACGTAGAAGCCCAACTGGTAGAGCTTTGATATTGAAATGCTTCTGTTGTTGCAGGTGGAAGAGGAGCTGAAAAGCGCCTGCAAAAGGAAATCCCTGCAGCTGCAGGAGATGGGGCGCAGGGAGAGGCTGCTGAAGTCTGATGTGGATCGAGCCCAAGGGCAGGTAGGGGAGAGGGATGAGGTGATCCTGTGGTGTGGGCTGCAGGCACTGAAAGTGCTGCTTCCCTCGTGGGAAAGGGCATCTGTGGAAGGCAGACTGTGAGTTCGGGGAAGGAAGTACTGAGCACTGAACTCAGATTATACCTGGTCAGGAGGCTCAGCATGAAGGGCTTGTCAGAAGGATTTCTTCTGTGGTGGTAGAGGATGGTCGTGGTCCAAGGTGCTCTCAGTGTTGATTGTTGTAGGGTTTTGTAGGGCACTGAAGTGGAGTCTTTGTTGATTCTCAGTGATTATTGTTTTCCTGTGTTAATCTCTGCTGTAGCTAGAGTCTTTCAAAAGCCAAGTGATGCGAGTGTGCAGCCCACAAGCAGCAGGAGAGGCGGGGAAGGCCATCACAGTGCAGCAGGTGAGTGCAGAGACCATCTCAGAGACGCTCAGAGCCTCCAAAACCCATTGGGGTTTGAGGATACTGCAGAACAGGCACAGCACCAGCCAGCTTCACATATTACAAGTGTAGCCACTCCAGATGAATGGCCGTGCACCATAACATAAAAAAAGTTTGGCTCTTCTCCATCTCCTCCAGAGCTTGGCTGGAATCCTGGAGCTTTCACTGGGAAAAGCCCAGGAGCTCACCCAGTGTGGCCAACCAACTGCAGAAGGCTTTTGTCACTGCCACGTGTGTCTCTGGCCCCAGTGGGTGCCCAGGGAGCTGTGGGTGCCCCATCTCTGGAGGTTCCCAAGGTCATGGATGGGCTCTGGGCAGCCTGAGATGGTTGGGGGAAACCAGCCCAGGGCAGGAGGGTGGGCTTCAAGGTCTCCTCCAATCCACTCCTTCTATGATTCCTCAGCTGAAGAATGGTGCATGGTGCTTTGTTCTCCTTTGGCAGGTAGTCAAGAAGGTCCAGCATATCTGGGAGGAACACCAACAAAGTCAGGCACGAGAGAAGTGCCTCCAGGAGGAAATAAGTTCCAAGCTCTCGAAGGAAACGGAGATGACTGAAAATGTGGAGGTGTTCAAAAAATCACTGCGTGAGCTCCAGGTCAATCATTTAAATCCCGTTTACAACATTCCAGCTGGGAGATAAGGGGCACAAGGAGTTCTGTTGGCCTGAGGACAGGTCAGAGACAAGGTTATGCCTGTGCATCAGCAGTAGGAAGCCTTGTGAGAGGGGAGCTTAGCCCCCAGAAAGCACTGGTTTGAAGGGAACAGAACCTGCCACTCCAGCATCCTCCCCTGTGCTGCTCCTCCCCAAAGATATTATTGAATGAAAGCTCTCAGCGAATGGATAAATCTTAGGTGATTTGTCAATTATGTGAATTGTGGAGGCTGGCACATAGATGGGTTTTATTCTTTGTAGGTATTCCTGAGGGCCTCATTCTGCAGCAGCAGCTTGAGGAGTGAGCTCAGCAAGCTGGAGGCCGTGCTTGTGGACCCATTGGTGTTGGACATACATGCAGCAGTGGTGGAAATCACACACGTGGTCCTGTCCTGGCTGCAGGAAGCAGAACTGCTGCTGGCAAACATGGGGCTGGAGCTGCCCACCTCCAAGAAAGGTGCCTGCCCCATGGGGCATCCCAACTCTTTGCTCCCCATTGGGGTCCCAGAGGTCGGTGGGTGTTCATGTGTGCACTGTATTGTCTGCAAATTATGAGTTTGGGAAGCTGGAGCTGGATGATCTTGGAGGTCCCTTCCAACCCAACCATCCTATGGTTCTATTATCTTTGAGATCCCTTTCAGCCCAACCATTCTGTGGGTCTATGATCTTTGAGATCCCTTCTAAGCCAGTCATCCTCTGGTTCTATAATCTTTGGGGCCCCTTCCAACCCAAACATCCTATGGTTCTTCAGTCTTTGAGGTCTCTTCCAACCCAAGCCATTCAATGATTCTGTGACTTGCCATCGTTGTTATTCAGTTGTTTTATTTCCCTGGTGGCATGTTGGAAAGAATCTTTGCAGCGATTGTAGCAGTGTTTGATAAGGAAAATGTAATCTCCCAGTGAGAATCTGGGCTTTTTTCAATCTCCCTGAGATATCTGGGGGATGGCAGCAATTTCATCAGTGCTAGATTTGAATAAAAAGCCTGATGGTGTCAAAAATGAGATGTCCAAAAAGCCCCTACAAGTAATACCCTGTTTGCTTTTGCAGGATTGACAGCTTGTCTCAAGAGGTTGTTGGAAAAGTATCAGGAAACTGAACGAAGGAATGAAATGTTGCAGGTTAAAATGTGTGCATGTGTGTAGATATGTGTACATGCAGTTGGGAAAGGGTGAACCACTGACCACCATTGGTGAACATGGAGATACAGTGAAGAGAGCCAGTGTAGAAACTCAATAAGAAACGTGCAGTAGCAGAGACCCCTGGAGCTCCAGATTATGCCCAAGAGTAGAAAAGACAATGTCCTCATCTTAAGAGGGGAATCTCTTGTGTCCATGTTGCTGAATGGACGAGTTGGACTTTGTGGCTCTCTTCTGAATTGTTTGTTGGTGCATGCACACAAGGTGCAGTGGGGTCAGCTTTGTTTTGTTTGCTTTGTTTTGCTCTGCTGCCAATGCCTTTCTGTCAGCAGACGTTTCTGCTGTTTCCCCATAGGCCCAATTAGAGGAGGTCCAGGAGTCACGGGATGCTCTGCTGCAGGAGCACCTGGAAGAGCTGAAAGCTAAACACGAGCAAGACCTACAGACAAAAATCAATCAGATTATATTGGAAAAGGAGGAGGAGAAGGCAAAGGTATGGCAGCGTGGTTGTTTTTCAGAAAAAGGCCTCTTCCAAAGGCAAAAAGGTTCTATGTAACAGTGTTGCTTAGCAAGAGGAAGAATTCTATAGCCCCAAAATCAAAATGTGTGGGGGCAGTTGTCCCACAACAGGGCAACGATCCTATGAATTGCTTTCCTCACCTAAATCAAGTTAGTTTGCCTTACTCTATGATTTTATCTTCACTGAAAACGTGGGCTGTCCAATCTCAGATTCTGGAGAGCACTGTTCTGAAGGAGAAGGAGAAGCACAAGCAATGCTTGGATGAAGAAAAGAAGAGGATGCAGGACTTGGAGAGGCACCTGAGAAGTATGGCTGAGGTTCGTGATGTGTGTGGGAGGCAAAGCAGAACTGGTTTCCAATGGGACTGGCAGTGTTTTCAGGATCTCTTGGTGGATATTTTACTCTCACACATGAAAACACACATAGAGGTATATGGTTGGAGATCCACCTTCAATAGGGTGAGAGGTGATGGCGTTAAGTTGTGCCAGGGGAGGCTCTGTTTGGATGTGTCTCAGAAAGAGAGGTGGGAATTGGCTGCCCAGCGAGGCACATATTTAATGGGCACTGTGGCTGTTGGACTTAGTGATCTTAGAGGCCATTTCCAACATTCACGTCTCTACGATCTCATTGAGCATTGCTCTTTTCCTCTTGTAGATAATTGAAGGGAAGTCCAAAGAGCAGGAGGTGACGGATCTCAAACTGCAAGAAGCTGTGCATGACCTAGAGGAAACCACAACCCGAGAGGTAGCTCCAGCAACCCTACTTTGCACAGAGGATGTGGCATAGATACGGTTTTCTTGCACAAACTTTCCTCATTCCGGGCTGGTGATGCTCATCGTGTTTCTGCAGAATAACGTGTACAACTGAAATCACACGTCTTGTTTCCTAGATGATGCTAAAGCAGCAGGTACTCATGCAAGACGAGCAGCTCAAGATCCTCCAGGATGAGAGAGAGGTACTGAAATGGAAAATGCAGGAAGAAATAGCAGAATATAAAGAGCAAATTAAGCAACACTCTCGGACAATTGTTGCGTTAGAAGACAGATTGCTGGAGGCTGAGCAGCAGCAAAAGGCACTAAAGGAGGAAAACGTCGTGCTTGTGGAAAGAATAAGAGGTAGCTAAGGGTTGTGTGGGTGCTGGGCGGGGGGTACCCACAGCAAGTGGAGGGGCAAATAGAGACAGAGCAGTGAGGATGGTCAGAACACAAAAAGAGCCCTGTGATACTGTGAAGGCTCTGTCTCACTGTGAGCTGCCATTCATTGTTCGGGGTATTTGGTGACTTTTGGTGGTGCACCATTGGCATGGATAGGGCCTTCCCACTGGAGAAGGGCTCTTTGCCCTCAAGAAAGCAGAAGTGAACCTGTGCCAAGAAGGACCTAAGGAATTGTGTAAACACTGCTACAATGGCCCAAGAAACATGGCCAAAGAGAGGCTGGTTGTGGTCTTCAGAGATCATAGAACCATAGAATAGTTGGAGTTGGAAGGAACCATAAAGGCCATCTGGTCCAACCCCCTGCAGTGAACAGGGACACCTACAGCTCCATCAGTGCTCAGAGCCCCTCCACCTTGAGTGTCTCCAGAGATGGGGACGTGAAGATGTCACAAAGGAGAGGATATATGGAGCATTGCCTTTATAAGGCTGCAGAACCCAGTGTGTTCTCACAGCCTGGTTGGTCCTGGATCTGAGCAGCCAAGATAGACACAAGTGTCTGGCCTATGGGTGTTGCTGCTAAGACCTCTTCCATCATTCCCCATAGGACTTCAGGATGATGCCTGCAGGTCTACACCAGGAGCTTCCCAGGAGGCCAGAGAGTCTCATTGCTGTGGTCTGTAAGTGCCTGCGAGTGCTTGCTCTGTTTTGGAGGGTGTTAGAGAACAGAAGTTATCCAGAGGAGAGCTTTGAGGAGCTAAAGGGGATGATCTCAGCACAGCAGTAAATGCTGCCTGCCCGTGGGTTGTCCTGGGTGGGGGCTGAGGCAAGCAGAGATTCTGCAAAATGAATTTTTCTTGGAAGCTATGAGATTTGTGAGTATCTTTCTCACAAATTTCAGAGAAGAGCTGGCTGCCATGCAGGGCTTACTCCAGGCCAAAGAGGCTGCCATTGTGGGATTAACGAAGGAGCTCTCAGAAACCAGGGCCAGGATGTCAGACATGAGAGGTTGGTGAGCTGTGTGTGTGATATCCAGCCTGTTCCCATTCCTGCAGAGCTATGGCAAGGCTAAGTGGGAGAAAGGCATGCACAGGTAGTAGGAAATAGACCCACTTCCCTAAATGATGCTGTTGTTCAGCCCTGTGTTAAGCAGGATGTCCGTTCCCTTTGGCCATGTAAATTGCATAGAATCATAAAATCATTAAAATTGGAAAAGACCACTGAGATCTCAAGTCCAACTGCCAACCCATCACCACCCTGCCCACTACACCGTGTCGCAGAATCATAGTCATAGTAAGCTTGGAAAAGTCCACCAAGATCATCAGGTTCAACCGTCAAACCAAACTACAGATGCTGCTGTGCTGAACGCAGAGAGAGTCATGAACCCATGGCAACTCTGCTGTGCTTAGGAGAGCTCAGTGAGAAGCAGAAGGCAGAGCTGGAGCAGAGCCTGCACCGCGTGAAAAGCCAGGAGCGTGAGCTGGGCATGCTCAGGGGGAAGCTGTTGAAGATGTCAGACCTCGTGGCGAAGAAGGATCGAGAGCTTCAAGCAGCAGCTGCAGAGTTAAGGTAGGACCTGCTGGGAGGTGACGGCCTGTGGATTCCCAAGAGTTGGGTGCGTGTTGGTAACTTCCATGGGGCAAAAGATAGGTTTGAGTATGAACAAATCGAGCTAAGCTACGCTAACTCTATGGAAACGTCCCATGTTCTGAAGGTGAGATGGTGAGGAGCTCGTGCAAATGGACTTGTAATGAAATCCCTGCTTGGTGCTGTGCTCTGACATACACCGTGGTTGCTGTCTCTTGGCACAGGGAAGCCCAAGAGGACTGCAAAGCACTCAAGGATGCATCTCGACGAATGGCAGAAGAGCTGGAGATGCTTCCACAGGCGCAGGCTATTCCTGCCACACCAGAGGAATCCTCTGAGCAGGTAATCCTGCAGGGACACGTTGAAAAAGTCAGATGCTGTGTATGCTAACGGCAGCTGTAATTGGCAATTAGAGTTGTAACAGCTCCCTGAAAGATCTGTAACTCTTCCGTCCCTTTCCCAACCTTGCTCCGCAATGGATGTCGGCAAAAGTAGGTTGGGGTGAGCGTTTGGGAGCCGTATTTTCATGTGCAGGAAAGGGAGAAACAGTCCTATTTCTCCCATGCTGTGCTGAATCACCGTCTGAATTCCCGAGTCTTAGAGAACTGAATAAATCAAAGGTGGTTCCAGCAGCAGATGGAAGGACTGCAGAAATGGTACAGGCTGTACCGAAACAGCGGCAGACATGGTGCCAGCTGGAAGGGTTCGTGTTGGCCAAGCGGTGACTCATGGCTAGATGGGAGCAGGAGGCAGTGCCTTCCTCCTTCTCAGCAAGAGGTGGTGAGAAACACGAAGCTAGAAATCCTCCAGAGGAGAATAAATTGTCACTGCAGTGTGAAGATGGTGAGATCACGGTGGCAGCTGGCAGCTCTCATTAGGGTTTTAATTGGGTGCTCACCCTGTTCTGTAACATGTCAGTCGTCGTGCTGGTGGGGCTGGGAGGGTGAAACGTGAGTGTGAGTGCACAGATGTGTTGTAAAAGGGAATAACGTGCGAGATTGTGGATAAATGGTTGGGTTGGGTGAGAACCATCCGGGCTTGGACTTCCAGGACCTGGCATTGGACCTGGCCAACCTGGGTGTGAGATGCAGAGGCCTCAGGCACGAGGAGACGATCCAACGGCAAAAAGAAGGCTTGGCGGAGCTCCGGGAGAGGATCAAGGTGCTGGAGAAGACACAGGCTGCTGGTAAGCACAGTGTGATGTGGCTTTGGTAGGAATGGAAGATGCAACTGCAGGCCTGGCTGGAGCCTTTGCACCTGGCAAGTCTCAGAGCCGGTGTTGTATCATAGAATTGGAACAGTTGGGTTGGAAGAGACCTTAAAGGTCACCAAATTTCAACCCAATGCCGTGGGCTGGTTGCCCTTCCACCAGATCAGGCTGCCCAATCCAACCTGGCCTTGGGCATCGCCAGGAATGGGGCATCCTCAGCTTCATGATTCCACGGTGTTTGGTTTCCTTCAGCTGTCATGGGCAGGGCCAGCGAGCTGCTCATGGTACAGAAGGCAGCCCTACCAGAGAAGATCTCCCAGAAAGCAGGACTCAAGGTGGAACCAACTCCACTGCCAGGTGCAGAATTCAAGTGCAGCAAGGTAAGTAGACATTGGTGCAAAGATGTTCAATGGAATGGGAAGATCAAGCCCTTGGGATACGAGAGGGAAAAGAAACCAGGAGGGAGGCGTGGGGCCCATCAGTGTGCAGGGAGCTCAGTCAACATGTCGCTTCTGCGCAGTGCATGGGCCAACTTCCTGATGGCAGCTCATGTGGGGCCGTGAGCGTGGAAGGGTTGGAAGACTCAGAGCTCAGCGAGAGGATGGTACGTCTGCAGCAGATGTGGTAAAAGAATCATTGAAGCATGGAATGGTTGGGAGGGACCTCCAAGATCATCCAGTTCCAACCCCCTGCTGTGGAACACTCCATAATGTGGGGCATCATCTTCCCAGTGATCAAATGAATGAACCCATCTGGGTGACTCCTTAAGAGGGGAAACAATGTAGAAACGAAACTGGGAGTGCACAAATAGGTTTACATGCAGCATCTGAATCTCTCGAAAGATGAAAGCGGAGTGGGTGCAGATGGCTGAGTGCAGCAATCGTTTCTGAAGTAAGATTTGGCAGGCCTGGTAAATAATTCATCCTCTATTCTTTTTGCAGTACCTTGATTTAATCTGTGCTCTGGGAAGGCTGATGAATATGAAGGAGCTGGAAGGAATGCAGCCCATGGAGCATCTTCCCCAGGAAGAAAGGGAAAAAGTGGGGCAGCAGAGACGGAGGGAACTGGGGCTGTTATATGAGAGGATCAGAAAACTGAAGGATCGCCTGGAAAGGAAGGAGGAAAGGCTCCAAGAGTGTGAGACCAGCATCGAGCAGCTCAGGTACAGCAAGGTGATGGGGGTTCCTCCCAGGAGTGATGGTGTGAGAGCCTGTAGCACGTTATGGCTTAATGGGGCAGCAGGAATCCACAACCTCACTCCACGGATGCCGGGCTCTGCTTTGGGTATGTTGGAGATGGGCTCTGAAATGCCAGGGAAGGGACCACAGCCAAGGCAGCATCAGTGGGGTGTCCATATGGGGTGCACAGGGGGAAAACCACGAATGGAGGTTTCATCTTGGTCCAGGCAGGAAGAGAGGGGCTGGGGTGGTGGTGGAAGATCCACATTGGTGTTTCCCAAAGGCTGAACCAAGAGTCCCTGCAAACATGCCAGGAAGAGATGCTGAGACTGGAAGATGAAGTCTACAGGGAAGCAGAAGAGAAAGCTCTGCTGAGAGAGGCTCTGGAGAGGACGAGGGCAGAGCTGGGCCAGGAGAAGAGGTTGAAAAAGGCAGCACGGCAGCGCAAGGTGGGAGTGCTGGGGTAGGAAACGTCAGTGTGAGAACAACCAAGGCAGCTCCTGCAAGGACACAAAGATGATTTTCTATTTTTTTATCCAGAGCCTTGCAGAGAATGGGGAGAAGAGAAAGGAAAAGGAGCTGCCCAACCGTGCTCACTCTTCCAAAGAACGTGGAGGGAAGGTATGGCACACTGGTACGCACTGAAAGCAAAGCACAGTGGGACTTGGAAGCAAGATGTCCATGGCCACAGGGAGCACATCTCATGTAAGGGGATGATGCATGGTTCTGTGCTGTGTTCTCTCCCACACGTGGCAGGCCAGCCCTGGAAGTGTTCGTTGTGGAGATGTGGCACTGAGGGATGCAGTCAGTGGGCACGGTGGGTTGGGGTTGGACTGGATGGTCTCTCAGAGGTCTTTTCCAACCGTAATGATTCTGTGATCCTAAGTTTATGCAATGTCTGCTTTGCAGCCTGGAGCCCAGCAGCCATCCCTCTTGGTGAAGTCAAGGGAGCGTGTGGTGGGAGAGCTGGAGGTGATGGGCAGCCCATAGGAGCAGCACCACGGGGACGTTCTGCTCACAGAGCTGTACAGCGAGGAACTGTGTTGGGGTTGGACATGGCACCATGTAGGCACGTATCGGGGGGAAGAACGCCTATGTGAGGCCATCCTACAGTGACCAGGACTGCTGGAAGGACAGTGACATGCCCAGGGCCAAATGATCCTGCAGGATGTGTATTGCAGAGCTTAGGGAAAGCGGCAGAAGACAGCTTATGTGAATACAGCCAGAATGTGTGGGTGAAGCTGATGGTGTCAAGTCTGATCTCTGTGCCACGGCTGCTCCTCCGTCCCCACAGCATCACGGGGGCACAGGGAGAATAAAAGAGGGGGCAAGGGAGAGAAGCTGGAACAAGGCACTGCCAGATGGGAAGAAGGCAGAGAAGGAGCTGTGCTCACCCTACACTATGTGGCACTGGAACGTGTCTGGGGAGAGCAGGGCCAGGTCTGTGCCCTGAGTGGAGCATGGTGCTCCTGAGTACCCAGTGGGGTGCAACGGGCAGCTCCTGCTGCAGGTTTTGGGGTCAGGTGCTGTCCTGTAGATCTGAGCATGGTTGTGTTCAACTCTGGGACAGCCCCTGGATCCAAATACCGTGGACACAGAGCTGGAAGCCCATCCATGCCCTTCTTGCACCCTGTGTCTGCAGGGGCTTTGGGTTGGGCTGTGCCATTCGTCTACCACCAAACAATGCTGGTGGGACCCTGAGGGGGGGAACCCTCGCAGGCTGGCAAACCCCGAGCCTGGAGGTGCTGGGGGTGCCCCGAAAAGATGCGTCCCCCCCCCCCCCTTTGCTAGGCGGCTGCTGGGGCGGAGCGGGGCGGAGCTGCGTCTGTTCGCCCATCCATCCATCCGGGCACCATGGCGGAGGAGCTGGCGGAGCGGCTGGGCCGACGGTTGGGGATGCGGGAAGGGGATGCGGAGCAGCAACAGCAGCAGCAGCAGCAGCAGGATGCGGAGCCCACCCCGGTGCCCCCTGGCAGCCCAGCGATGCGGGCGGTGGGCAGCGAAGGTTCGCCCGGGGGCGGCCGGAGGCTCTTCAGCCCCGCGGCGGAGTTCCGTGAGTTCTCCCGGCGGCAGCTCCGTGACATGGAGAGACTCTTCCGACAGTGAGTGTGGAGGGGAAACCCCCCCCCCATGGGACCCCCAGGAGAGACCCCAGGGAGGGAGCACCGGACAGAGGGTCCCCATTGCCCCGATCGCATCCCCTATGCTTTGGAAGCCTGCAGCCCCTGGTTGGGAACTGCGCGGGGGTAGAGGGAGAGGGGGGCGGTTATGGAAGCCCCCAGCCCCTTTGCAGAACCCGCCCAGCCCTTGGCTGATGGTGGGAGGGGTCCTTTGGACTCCTCTGCAGGGGAGATCTCTGGGGTTCTCCCACTTCCTTGCAGGGGGCTCCCCTCATCTTCTCATCCTGGGACCCCCTCTTGGCTCCCTGTGGAAGGAATCCATGGGACCCCCCTTGGCTCACCACGATGCCCCCCAGTTCTGCGCAGGAGTTGAGTCTCAAGACCCCCTCTCAGCTCCTTGCAGCCATCCTCCCACCCTCCAAACTCTTACAGAAGGGTGCCACTGGATGCAACCCCCTCACAACCTTGCAGAGGGAATCCCAGGACCCTCAGAGCAGTCTGGAAAAGGGACACGGGACCCCCCAGCCCCAAGACCCCCACCCTGGCTATGCACACGGCTTTGGGCTGCGGCAGTGGTGTTGTCACATCCTCGGTGCCATCCCCACGTGTCCCCACGTGTGATGTTGCAAGCTTGGGTCAGTGGGGGGGGTAGGGGGGGGGAGCTGAGCAGAAAGGCGTGGAAATGTGCAGGGGGAAAATAGGGGCTGTAGGAGGAGGGGATCAGCCTCCCCCCAGCCCTATGCACTGTGCAGCATGTGGCCGTGGGTGCTGTGCCCGCGGGCAGATGGCAGCAGCACGGGGTCTGGTTGCAGAGCAGGACGTGCACGCCTGCACGCACCGCAGCGAGAGGAAGCAAAGGGGGCTCACCACGGGGGGGAGCATGGGGATGGGGTGACGGTGTGGGGCCGAGCCTAGCCCCTGCCTCGCTGCATGGTTTGTCCTCTCTCCCACCTTCCCCCGCTGCGTTAAAGGATTGCGACGCAGGAGAGCCCGCCCCAGTGGATGCAGAGCTGCAGCCAGGGGCTCGCTTTGCAGCAGCGGAGCTCACAGCCCTGCGATGCCAGCAGGAAAGCACGAGGGTTCTGTGCTGGGGCACAGTGTGAGCTGCACCATGCTGCGGCTGCGGGGACAAATGAGTCACAGCCCCGCAGAGCTGCATGTCGCTTCCTGTAGGCTGAGCAAGGAGAAGTGGAAAGTGCATCCTAAAGAGCCCAGCTCAGTCCTACAGGCTGCACGGAGCTGGTGGCACACTTGGCAGCAAGCTGCTGGGTACCCGTGCCAGAAACCACACTCCATGGGCAGGGAGTGCTGAGGATGCTCCTGGGAACCATTAGTGGTTGGATAGAACCAGCAGTGGTTTGGCACAGCAGCCCAACGCGACAGTGAGGATGTGCCCTGTGATGAGGATTTACCACCTCCTCACAGGTATGACGCAGGGAAGGATGGCTTCATCGACCTGATGGAGCTGAAGCTGATGATGGAGAAGCTGGGAGCGCCGCAGACCCACCTGGGCCTGAAGAACATGATCAAGGAGGTGGACGAGGACCTGGACAGCAAGCTGAGTTTCCGCGAGGTGAGAGCAAGGGTTGGGTTGTGGCTGTGTCCCTCGGCAAGGAGCTGGATGCCACATCCCTGGTGCTGATATCCCACCCCATGCTGCAGTTCCTGCTGATCTTCCGCAAGGCAGCAGCAGGTGAGCTGCAGGAGGACAGCGGGCTGCACGCACTGGCACGGCTCTCCGAGATTGACGTCTCAACGGAGGGTGTGAAGGGAGCCAAGAGCTTCTTCGAGGCCAAGGTAAGTGTTGAGCAACACAGCAGCAACCATTGGGCGTTGGGGACATGACCAACGTGCCACCATGCTGCACGCAATGGGGACAGGGCCAATGTGTCACCATCCCCAGGCACAGGCGGTCACCGAGGGCAGCCGCTTCGAGGAGGAGATCCGTGCAGAGCAGGAGGAGAAGAGGAGGCAGGCGGAGGAGATGAAGCAGCGCAAGGCAGCCTTCAAGGAGCTGCAGTCAGCATTTGCTCAATGACCACGGCACGTGGAAGGAGCCACGCCGCGCCGTCACCATTCCCTGCGTGTCATCATGCCCACGACTCGTGCCAAGCTGGTGGCAGCTGTCCCTGTGCTTGGTGCCACGGAGCAGGCGGGTGCGCCCATCCCACTGCACCCAACGTTGGGTTGGAGGTGGCCTTGGCTCCCCTTGGGCTGCTGGCTTATTTTGGTGAAAGACGTCCATAAAGGCCACCGAGGGGAGAGAAGCTTTATTTTTTGTCTGTCTGTCTTCTAAGCACCCCAAGGGACGGCGTCTCACCTGCTGTCCCTGCAGCAGTGGTTGTGCCGATGACTGTGATGTCCCACAAAGGTGTTGTCTCAACAGCTGCTTCCATTCTGTCGTATGGATGTGTTGTTTGCCGTGTTGTCTTCTTTCTTTTTTTTCTTTTTAAATCCCAAATAAATATTATATTTCCTAAGTGTTGTGCTTATCCATGCCCAGGGTTGGGTGTCAGTGTGGGACCCCCACGTCCCCACGTGCCTGGGGTTACGGTCAGAGCCACATCTGTGGAGTTGCACATGGGACAAGTGTATCCATTCCCAGGTGGGTCCTGATAAGAATTAGAACAAGGTGGGCACACAGGCTGTGGCATTTGGCCACCTGTTAGCAGGCTGAAGGCCACGTTCCCAACGGCTGGAGGTGGCTCAGCAAACATATATAAAACGGTGGGCTCCTTGCTTCTGCCACACTGGAAGCCTACAACCATGCTGGGGGCTGTGTGTATCGCCGTCCTGCTGGGCTACGGTGGGTGAGGGCATGAGGAGGGGGGTGTCTGTGGGGCTGGTGGCCGTGCCCATGCTGATGTCCCCATGCTTGGTGTCACACAGCCTACGGACGCGGGCAGCCGGCAGTGCAACCGGTGTTAGGCTCTCGTGTGGTGGGCGGTGAGGAAGCTGCTCCTCACAGCTGGCCGTGGCAGGTAAGGGGGACCGTGTGCCACCTGGGCTCCATCCCCACTGTTGGTGACACCGGGATGGGTGGCCACCACCTGTCGTGACTCCGTGCCGCCGTCCAGGTCTCACTGCAGTACAAATACTATGGTGGCTGGAGCCACACCTGTGGAGGAATCCTCATTTCTCCCTGCTGGGTGCTGACAGCTGCACACTGTTACAGGTAGGGCAGGGGGGCATCCATGGGGGATACAACCCCCACGTCTGCCCTCATGCTGATGGCCATCGGCAGCTCTAGCCTGACGTACCGCGTGGTGCTGGGAAAGCACAACCTGTCAGAGGAAGAAGACGGCGCGGTGGTGGCTGAGGTGGAGGACTTCATTGTGCACGAGGATTATGACCCCATCAGCATCACGTAGGGCAGCAAAGGGGGGAGGGAGAGGTGTGCCAACCCAAGGCTGGGTGTGAGGATGGGTCTGGCAGTGGGCTGTTGTGGGGTTGGCAGGGTCTGGTTGGAGGCTCTCTAAGGGGTTTGGTTGGTGGTGTTCTACAGAATCTGTCAAGTGACATTCTAGAGGGTCTGGTTGGAGGCATTCTATTCAGTTTGGTTGATGGTCCTCTATGGGGTTTGGTTGGCGATCCTCTACAAGGCTTGGTTGGTGGCACTCTAAAGGTTTGGTTGGCTTTGTTTTTGGGGTTTTGTCATTGCAGCAACGACATTGCATTGATCAAGTTGTCAGAGCCCGTGCAGGAGAGTGACACCATCCAGGCTGTCAGCCTGCCACCCAGCGGGCTGGAGCTGGAGAACGGCTACCCCTGCGTGGTCACTGGATGGGGAACCCTCTGGAGTAAGAAGGTTGACCACAGAGGGAACTGAATGGGGTCAGCATTGGACATGGGTGCAACTTGAGGCTGTCATTGCAGCTAATGGGCCGCTGGCGGAGGTCTTGCAGCAGGCCGTGCTGCCCGTGGTGGACTATGCAACGTGCTCACAGAGAACCTGGTGGGGGAGCCTGGTGACGACTTCCATGTTGTGTGCTGGTGGTGACGGCCAGGTCGGGGCATGCAACGTGAGTGAGGGGGCTGCCGGCCATCCCCAATGGCTGCGGTGAGGTTGGAAGAATGGAGATGGGGAGCTGTGGGGTGTATGAATGTGACACGGCGCCCT